AAGTCAAAAAACATAAAGTATTCAAATACAATAAACTTATTGGTCTTAGGTATCTACTTAATATATGTACGAGTTCTTATCATAATCGATGAATTAAATAAAAGTAACAATTATTAGAAATAATAATTATTTCTGATAGTAACGTTATATATACGGTTATTCAATGAATATTAAAGTAAATGAGATTTTCATTATTTGAATTTCATTAAACGTTAGAACTTGGTTAGTTTTTATTAAAATGATACAAATATTGAAAAGTGCAAAAAAAGCAGCATCAATTGTAAATACATACATATTTTATTGATTAATGAAATTAACATAATTTTGGAAGAATTTTTATCTTTTGAATAAATGCATAAGTAATTTGTTAGAACGCAAAGTCGACTTGCATCACTACTATGACTCGGAGTCATATATAAAGATGGTACACAGCGCGGACAGGCATTGGAAAAAGTTCGCTAAGAATCTTGTCAAATTATTTGTGAAAAATGAAATCATTTGTAAGTTGAATGGTTTCTTTTGAAATTACTTATATTGTTTAAAATTTACGAAGGAACTAAAATCTTTAATTCACTTTTTTAATTAAACTCTTAAATAATTAAACTCAAAAATTATATACTCGTATGTTCATAGATCGTAGTATGCTGCCTGTTCTCGTGCGCCCTCGCCGGCGTGGCTCGTGAGAAGCGCGGCTTCCTGAGCGGCCTCCACTCCTCGGACGTGTACAGCGGCTACTCCGCTCCCATCATCAGCCTCTCGGAGCCCGTCCTCGGCTACTCCGCGCCCGCTGCCAAACTCGTCCGCGTCAACAAAGTGGTCAACTCTCACCGCGTCGTGGACGTGCCTCAAGTAGTGAACGTGCGCAAGGTGGTGTCCGTGCCTCAAGTGGTGTCCGTCAACAAGCTGGTGGCCGCTCCCAGCTACAGCTCCTACGGCGGCGGACTGGGACTGGCTTCAGGCTGGGACCAATCATATTCTAGCGGGTGGTGATTGAAATAGGCAGCGCATAAAGTTTTCATATATCATTTCGTTTCATCTGTACTGTTAATCATTGCATAATTAAGTCGATTATATTTATATGAAAAATAAACTATTTACTTTTTTATTACTTCTTTTTTTATATATTTTTTAAAGTAATAGTAGTACCTGATCTCAGAAATACATACATTTTGCAGATTACTTTAAATGAGGCGTGATTGCAATAGTTCCCATAATTAATAAGTTAGGCGGCAATGATCCTTACTTCACTATAACTTGAAACATGAGAAGAGTTCGGATGTTATAGGAAATACATACAAGACGGATGAGTCTTGAAGTTGAGTTGAGTTATATTAAAAGTTGTCAATATGTCATGACAAGGTTGCGCTCCTAGTAAACGCACAGCCTCTGACAAAAGTATAGAGGTATTTACACATCATCAGATAAAGTAAAGTTATTGAAAAATAAAAGAAGTACGTCTTGCTGTTCTTTAACACATGTGTAGTAGATCAAACTTATGTGATTAAACTATAGCTTTTAATATAGATTTAATATTGAACTGGTGGACCATTGTTACCAGTGTTCCCAGCAGTGGCCGGGACTAGATCTGGTGGTAGAGAATAATCTTGTTTATTGATTGTATGTTTACATTTACACTTTCCAATGTTTAAAGTCTTTTGAATGGTTGCATTACTTTGATGGAAGAGTTGTAGTGAAAAAACATGAATCGTTATTCTAAGTCTTCTAACTCTTCAATAAATTTGTGATATATTGAAAAAATTAAGAAATTGGGTTATTTAGAACAATCAAAATGTTTATAACAATACAAGTTTCACGACAAACTTTGTGAAACATCATTGTCTCAAGTTAAAAAACACAACTTAAATATGTATCTTAAAATATATTTATTTTATAAAATATCGGCCACTTCACAACAATAACTATAACAAATTTTCGAAAAACACATCTCAGTTCTAATCCAATTTCTCATCTGTATGTTTAACATTCTAGAACTTCAATCCATGCTGAGGGAATTCATCTACATAATAATTATAATATTGTGTTCCTACAATGATACTACTAACATATTATAACTAAATCGATGTAATCAGATTTACCACGAGTCTGTTCACTCTGACCTCAACCTTTAAAAATATCCCAGAGTATACAGAATAATATGTACCTAATATATTTATTATAAACCTATAAATATATCTCTCGATTCCCGGTAATTAGTTTTTAATATCGCTCATACATTTTGCCCAATTTAATAACAATATCGTATTCATCATGGGAATAAAAAACAAAGTTTATATATTTGATCGTTATGACGTCGTTAATTATATTTCAATGAAGTTTGTATTACTGCACGGGCAGCAGAATGTAATGCGATTTTCTGACTTTATGGAACATTTTGGCTCAATGACATGAACAAGACAGTGTTACATAACAGACACAATAATATTAAGAACAACCTTTCAACGTGTTAGATGTTCACCGACAACAACAACATGTAATAATATTAAATGACGCTGTGAGGAAACACGAGTGATGCGGAATAAAAATAATTTATAAGAAATGTTTCAGAGGTAATTAAAACACTATGTAGGTTTATGACTGTATATCATTTTATGAAACATCAAATGTCAGTTGTATGTAACATCGCTTGATGTCGCCGGATCAAGTTCCACTAACTGTTTGATTTCCAAACAGTTTGTGTGCGGTATATATTGTTATCTTACTGCTCTGCTTCACTGGTCGCCGACACATCCACCGGCCGGGGCCACGTACCATCGGTGAGTGTTGCGATACTGTTGTTACTCTGAATACTAACTGCTGTCATAGCGTGTGTAGTGAGATGTACCTACATCAAGGACGAGCAAGGGTGTGTGTGTGTGTGTGTGTATGTGTGTGTGTCAACAAGTCATGTTTTAAGCTTTGGAAGATTTTATTTATTTATTTATAAACAGATACTCCATCGGCTTATCATAATAGCTAATACAAGAATTACATGCACCAAGTATGAATCAGTATGATCAGCCCTTATAGGTGTATACAACATTGTCTTTTTTTATTATTTTTTTTATTTTTACTAAGATACAGACTAAAGTATAAAACTAAGATAAGCAAAGCAAAATATGAACTAGACTAAAACAAAGTTAAAAACTAAGATCCAAAACTGGTAACAATATCAATCTACTTAATCTAGTTACGATGGGGAAGTAGAGTGCTATAAATAACTGATGCTGATATAAATAACTAGAGTGCTATGAATAAGATGCTAACAATTTAATGCAAATAACCGTAATTAGACGAAAGATATGTTTTTTACAAAAAATATTTCATTTTAAACATTCATCAGGTCAAGAGAATCTATATTCTTTTATTAGACTATTTTAAATCTTGTTTTCATAAAAATATCTACTAAACATCCACTTCGTAACTGGTGCGAGGTTATTTCTTATATAACATAAACTATATAATAAAAACACCCATTTAGAGTTTTACTTCAGATGTTTATCATTAGGAACAGTCATAGCCGCGAGCCTCCGCAACGAAACGTTTGGCGATTACAATAAATGTGATAGAGGTTCAGATATACAAGCTCGTTAATATACAATCAATAAAAATAACGACCGGCTCTTATACAAACGAATAAATATTGCGTTAAATAAATTGCAGTTAAGAAACTCCAAATTAATTGAACGATTAAACAAGAAATTAAAAAATAAAAATCGTTGATTGTTTTATAGTTTCTGATAGAGAAGATTGAGATGTTTCCCTCACTCTATCTGTATACAAATATATTAAATAGAAGCAGAAGATACTATACAACAGATCCTGCAGCCCTCCTCGACTTACAATATCAATATTACTTTCAGTCACATTCATAGACATCGGAACAAGTTGTTTTAAATTTCGCAACATTTAAGACATAATATAGCAAGTATCTTGCTACTGTAAGCTACATGAAACCAAGCATGTTATATTATTTACATTAAGAACATAGATCTGAGATATATATCATCAACAATTGTTGCTACAGTCCACTTAGGGAAAATATTTGTAGAAGAGTCTATAAATATATAAGACACATTTTAATTGACCATTTTTTTTATTATAATTACGATGATCACCCTCGCCACACTCCTCCTTCTTGCTCAACGTTACTCACCTCTCGATATTTGTGAAAACTCGCACAATATACATAAGTGCGAATTATAAATAATGTCAAGTTTTATTTCACATTACGGGGTAATTAGTGTGTAATTGTATCAAGTTATTTGGCAACGAACTTTTAATGTGAGACACTCAGATTACAATGATCGAGATCTTAAAGAGCGAGGATGAGTGAATGATGAGGACTGAGAGATACAAACATTACTTAATATACAAAATGTGGTATAATGAATGAATTGTGGTAGACTCGATCGTTACAATTTTAAATTAATTCATGTAATTTGCACACACACACACACACACACATTGATAAAACTAATGTTAATGTGTTTGTACAACACTGCAATCCTCTTTTAATAAAATAAAATGCAACATTACATTACAGTGTTTATGAATCTCAAAGCTCATCAAAATTAATTACATAACTTTATTGTATATTTCCAAACACTTATCCCTCTTTCGTTTTCAATATGAGCTGCATTTTTCATACATTGCAATATTTTTAAGATAATAACTGACAATTTTATTTCCTACTTAATGAGTGGTTGCTACTTGCATATTTTGATTCATCAACGTGAATACCGTCAAAGGCGAACTAAATTCTATATAACCTGGATATGGAGACGTAATATACATACATTGCTTATAGTAAAATACATCAAGACGATTAATATTCATAATAGTTACACGGAATTTAAATATAATGAAATCAATGTATTGATGGCAAAAATAAAACAAAAATCGTATAATAATTGTACTCAGGACACGTTTAGCAGTAGGTACTTTACGCAAGCTCCCCTTACCGTCGCGGGCCGGGCTCGCCTCCCTCTATATATACCTGAATGTTGACCAAACAGTCATCAGTCACCTCTCGAGACTTCTCTCAAGTAACCAACCACCGACACCCTCACTACAACAACATGAAATCATTCGTAAGTAATAAGGGTCTACGTCTACAATCATTGTTATTAATGTTCACTTATCATTCATGAAATTTGCGAAAATTTCCCTTCGACACAATATGTTTGGTTGTGTAGCAGATATTTCTTTTCATACTAAAAGACCGCTATTTGTTTACAGCTTCTTTTTATTTTGCGATACCATAAGGAGTATTATTAATATCATACATTTTCTCCATATTGTTAGTTTGATTATAAATACAATATTTTTGCATTATAATATCACAAAATACTTATCAGTCTCATTATTCTGTTCTCACCTCCTCATTATATACATGTTCTGTCTCCAGGTTTGCGTTGTCCTCCTCGCCGCCATGTCTCTCGCCGCTCCTGAAGGTAAGCGTGACAAGCGCGGCTTCTTGCACGGACTCAGCGGGGGTCTGGAGCTGAGTCACAGCTCTTACCACCTGGGACACTATGACGACCTTGCACACATCAGCTACCACGCGCCCGCCAGGATCATCTCCACACACAAGGTCGTGGAGGTCCCCAAGGTAATCACTTGGAATAAAAACAATCAAACAGTGTAGATTTTAAGTTTTTGATTAGTTATTATTTAGGGTGGCAACCGGAAGTTCCAGGAAAACTATGAAACATACTTATATGTATATTATAATAAAAATTACTATATAATTAAAACTTATAACCTACATCTAAGACTACACGATTGTCCCGATGTTAGGATAGCAATACCATTCCATAGCTTGTGTGTATCAGGAATCTTCTGGTTCACACGGCTTGGTGTTCGTGCGCGGAGTCAGCAGCCTCACTTGTTATGATATTTTATCCAAACAACGATGTTGGCCAGGCGATGTTCATTTAATTTTTAGTATGTTGCGAGTACTTAACATAGTTCACAATAAAATGTGACAATAAAATAAATCTGTAATACATGTTATTTCTGTGTGTAATGTTATGATCATTGAACATGTTCCAGGTCGTTGAATACAAGAAGATCGTGTCTGTACCGCGGGTGGTGTCCGTACCTCGGGTGGTGAAGGTGTCCAGGATCGTGGAGGACGCTCACTTCGCTCCAGCTCTGTCCCACGGCTGGTGGTGAACATCTTATAACACATTAGTGTAATGCTGCCGTTCAGAGACACTCCATAACTACTTCTACTACATCTATTACAAATTATACAACATTACATACAATAAGGAAAGATAAAAAATAAACAGAATAAGATGACTGACAAAAGGAACAGCAGAACTGAGAAGACCCCACGAGCAGAGGCTTACTACAACCAAAACTAATTATAAGATAATAAATACTTTATTTTTAATATATCTCTTTAACTTCATTTACATATTCCTTAAATATAATATTTATAACAAAGTAATTATAATAATTGATGATCTCTTCAATCATTCGTCAGAGGAACAGTTTACACAGTTTCTAAATAATAATCAATAATTCAAGTAGCGTTGAAGGTCGCCACTCGCCACATGTGACATGACCATCTCAATTGTAACAGTTTTGTGTAAATTCTGTATTCATGACGAGGATGAAGCAGACGTTGCTCAACCGACAGCAGGCAGCCGGCTCACTTACAAATGAGTTCAATTATTTAAATATTTTGTAATATATCATAGTATCGAGATCGTGTTAGTAACATTGACCTAAAACACAAAAATATGTTTTAAACAACATCATTAACGCGTCAAGATCGAAGGAGACATTAATGATTGTGGTTCTAGATCTTACGATAATATTATTACCATCACCACATCCTGGTCTTGCCTAACATCATTTTAGATAGCTTTTAACGCGTGTGAATTAATTTTAATATGTGTTTATATAAATACTTAAATGATAAAAATCTTTCATATGTGCTGAAATGACTAATTACTTTATAATATCAAAAAAAATATCAGAACTGGTTTATTTATAAAGTTTTTTTAGAAAGATGAATAATTAGTTATTTGAGTCTCGTTTTTATCAGAAGAATCGGTTATGTTTGAAACATATTAATATGTTTAATGCTTGGCGTGACAGATGAATGAATTATGATCCTATCTTTACTTGACTCTGTGGGAATGTGAAATGTTGTTGGGAATGTGAAATGTGAAGTAGTTACCCTAGGACAGCTGTAAAGACAAGGAGTTTATTAGTTTACTAAATAAAAAGATAACGGGTAATGAATATTAATAAAAGCAACCATTTAATCAATTATTTAATAAATAACCTCTTATTAAAGGTACATATTATTTAACATCAGATATCTCATCAAACTTTTCTAAACTCCAACTCACTTATTGAGCGAAACATTAATCGTCTATATACCATCGTCTTGACATTTATTTTACTTTAATTCTAATGACTGATATTCTTTACTTACGTAAACCTTCAATCCCTTAACAATAAAAAACATTTTGTTCATGAAAGTGAGTAAATACAAGAATATTAAGTGAAAACAAAATAAATTAACTATATTATGGGTAAAACCCGACTTGTATAAAAAAATATAATTAATACCTTAAAATTATCGTGCACGTCTTAGGAAACATTTGCTACTAAATATACCTTATTATGTTAATTGCCCGTCACACCGACTTCTCTATAAATTAAATTAAGCCAATGTTACAATAATGTAGAATATTTTCACGCAGAGGGAAATGCGCGCCCTCTGTCGACCGTAACTAATGACTAATGACCACCGACTGGTGAGTACTCAACTAATCGACGAAGTAATTTGTTTTACATGTTGTTCATCAATTAATAAAATCAATACACCTGAACTGCGATGATATCTTATAAATAAACACTGAGTAATACACTGAGTCTTACTGAGCTTTGAAAACATAGCGACGGGTTCCATACATTACATATTTTATATTAGTTTTTATCAGTTGTATGTGACAAAAAAAAGATGCGGGAATTAAATCGTGCAATTCCCGTTCACACTCTGTAAGATGTATCCAGTAGAATACCGAGAGGATGGCTACTTTAATCCGCCGATTTAAACTGCTTATATTGAATTTGACCTAGTAGCGTTTACTACTAAGCCTTTGTTCACGTCTCTACTGAGACCAAGCAAAATACGAAGTGACATTTGCAACGCCTGCCAAACATGTGACAGCAATATTCCACTCACACATATTCATGGATGACATGGCAAAGCTAAAGATTGATTAACTAAGACTCCCGGAACAAAACTCGAATAAGATTTGATTGACTCAGTACGTAAAACGACGGGTTCAGAACAACTCTGATCATATCCGAAGATAAAATTTTATTTAAATATTTTAAAATCCTAAAAACTATATAAAGAAACTTATTTACAGTTCATTTCTGACAAATAAATATATTTACTACAACAAGCAAAATAAAAAGTTATAATTTTAGAATTTGTCTCAAGTTAAAAAAAGTAAGAAGGTTAGTGGAGGACCCCAGAACCTTTAACACAAGCTTGAATAGTCACAACACACGGAACGCCTTCTGTGTTTCATTCATGAATCTTCACACATTACAGTGCTGAAGTAGGTTATTGTATGAGTCAAGGGAAGGCGTGATATGTAGTTTGTCGCTACAAGCTTGGACTATGCAGGGTGAAACCCATTATATTATTTCAATAAAAACACATATGTAATAAAACCAATATTATTCCTAATAATATTAGAGTAGGCATGTATATTGTATAATTTCAGTGAACGATATAAGAACTGTTTTGCCTGTAACAGTAATAAGTAATAACCCTTAAAATTAGTTTGTTGTCGATAAGATTAACTCGAGGTCTTTGTCGCTTTTTATTGACCATTCAGATATCGTGTAATCTTAACACACATTAGAATGACTTTAATAGTTTAGTAAATCGCAATTTTGTATACATTTAAATGTAAATTTCATAATGTTTTTGTTTTAATCAGGAACTTAAACCAGAAGAAATTAAAATAAACAACATTTTTGTCGGCTATTATATACAAATATTTAATTAATTATTACGTGAGGACAGTAGACATGTAACACACGAAATAATGATGAATCGTGCGTCGATTTTTCTTTCATTCACCGACAGCAAGTGAAGCAGGATATAACGCGAGTATTACCTCCTGAAAAAAATAAACGGTCTCACATGAACAAGTCGGCAGAGGGAGAGGCGCGGACCGGCGGGCCAGAGACGAGCAGTGTTGGAGAAATACACACACGAGCCGGCCGAGTGGACGGAACACAGACATGAAGTACTTTGTGAGTAGAATAATACATTGATTAACAGATATATTGTAAGGATATTAAAAGTATAGGAATTATTTTAGAGTTCTGAATAAAAGAAATCTGTGTGAACTATTCGGTATTTAGTGCCTGTAGGATACTTGTTAAACACTATTTACCTACCAGGTGCCAGTCCTGCTCTCGCTGAGCACATGGGCGAGCGCTCTGGAGCCTCTGCCGCAGATGATAGAGGAGCGCCGAAGCACTCTCCCGGTCTACGCTAAATCCTTCACTGATGAGTACGAGCCGTACGCGATGGCCGCCATCCCTCTCAACTCAGCGATGCCCATATTCCAGCTCATATCGCCGGGGTACCGCACCAAGTATAAGAAACCAGTCAAGCCGCGCCCTCAACGGAACCAATACAAAGAGGCCTACGCGTATGATTCATCAAACAACGAAGAAGCATACGATCCGTACAGCTACGACACTGAAGAAGTGGAAGTTATCAGTCCACAGAAGCACTCTAAGAACAGTCCTTATGAGGAAGACGCCTCGTCGGTGGTGGTGTACGCGCGCCCTAACAAGTACGGCGGCTACTCCTACCGCAAGCACCCCTCGTACTCCTCGCACCCCTCATACTCCTCACACTCTCACTACTCCCCGTCTCCCTCACCCATACAGACGTTCTCCTCGCCTCAAGCCCACGACCAGAAGCCCGTCATAATACGTATACATAAATATCGAGTCATACACTGAATACTTTGATTCATTAATGTAATAGTTGTAGTGTTTTGTGTACATTATGTATATTTAACATAAAGAAGTTGTTTTAGAACAGCTCATTAAGATAAATATAAAAAGTCTATCTTTCATAACAATTATTAATATTTTTTTTAACCTTAAAAACGTTTTATTTAATTCGTGACTGACCGTTATTTTTTAAATTAAAGTAATTAAATTTAGATATGTTGTACTTATTTTGAAACATTGTAAATATTAAAATACTACTCCTAATTTCCGTAACAATAATGCGGCGATGAACACTGAAAGTAAAAATAAATTACTTCATAAATAAAATCGCGTGTGAATACAAACGTCGACAGCTAGCAGCCGTCCGGGCGGAAGACGCCGCGACTATGAGCGTGACCGGGGACAGAATATATGATTATAATGGAAATAGTTTTTGTTAAACGACTCTCGCTTTCATTTAATACAGCAGGACGCCAAATACTTGAAATGTAATGAATCAAGTCAACAAGCGGTGCTCATCACCTCTACAACGGTTTTTTATGTTAAAGGCGGCAAAAGAGCATTAAGTGAAAGGGAGGGTGAAAGGATTACGAGGCTGATGATCGAATAACCAACCTGTCAAAGAGTATTGCTCTAGGTTTGAATTGAGAGTTGAGTTTTGTATGTCGCCCCACATCCCATGGCAATGAAACTCGCTCAACACTTTCAAGCAGAAGGACGCGCCGACATCCCGGAGAGGAAAAGGTGGTAAAAAGGCAAGGGCAACGGTCTCTCACTCTTCGGAAGAAACGCAGCCAGGCTATGTCATGCCAATCTTCTGTGAGAGGATGGTACTTGACCACCTTATAAAAACCGTGTAAAATAGCAATAATAATGAAAAATAGTTAAGCATCAATTTTAAGAGACAGCTAACGCCTTTTTCAGTTTCATGTATACAGAGTACCCAAATAGAATTCATGATAACGATGAGGACCATTTCAACCTATGTATTTTCTGATTAAGTTATGTTTTTAAATAAATTTAAAAAAAATATGTCTCGTGAAAGTCTCTGACAGTGGCTGTATGAGCTTTGTTCTCTTTGCCTGTTCTGAACGGAACGAATATAACCAAAAAAAGTCTCTGACAGAGAAAAAACGCGCGGGAATTGAAACGTTGACGAGGGCTTTTTGAAAATTTTAATTATTTTAAATAGTTTTATACTATATATAATTTGCAAATTTTTGTTTAGTTTATTGTAAAGAAGTAAAACTTAGTCTGTATATATAAGTGTTTATGTGGAAAGATGGTGAAAAAACGTAAAAAAAAGGATTCGGGTGAGTCCTTGCCTTTCAGCACAAGCTGCGACTCCGATTGCGAGGATTCGCCAGTATTGCAGGATGCAAATGCCTTCGCTCCCTTTAGGGTCGCTGATAATTGTCGGCGATACCCCGAAGATGCGGAAGCCAAGTCTGAACTCTTAGTATTTGTCAAAAGTACTAATGAGGTCCCACTCGGTAATAGGGACATGATGTCACTTAGTACTATTTTTATACGCTCTGTGAAAGGTATACAATATTTTTAAAAAATAAATAAATATAAGGTCGGTGTTGTTTTCCAACGTGCGAATTTGGCAAATGCCTTTTTAGAAAATACTACATATCTAAAGGAACAACGACTTAAAGCTTCAATACCAGCAGGGGCCACCGAACTATCGGGAGTTATCTCTTCGGTTCCCACTCATCTATACAATCATAAAATATATAAAGGAGAAAATAACACCTTCACACTGCAACCTACTCAGAGCGTAGTAATAACTTTTGCGTCTGCTACGTCACTGCCGGACTATGTTCACATTAAGATGTGGCGCCTGTCTGTCTCCACATATGTCCCACCTATAAAACAGTGTTTTAAATGTTTACGCTATGATCATCTGGCTAAGTTTTGTAAAAATTCACCGCGATGCTCCATATGCACAGAGGGGCATTCTTTCAAGAATGCAAGGTTAACATTGAAAAAACTAAGTGCATTATTTGTAATGGCAATCACATTGCCATCTCTAGCCAGTGCCCTATAAGGCAAAAGAAAATCGCAAACAGTGAACCCAAGTTATATGCTGACACGTTAAAAGATTCATTAAATTTTCCCTCCCTTAATAAAAAATTAAAAACCCAAGAAGTAATCCAAGCAATACTATCAAATTCTGAAGCAATGACCCTATTAACAGAATCTATAGTAAAAGTTATAACTTTAAATAAAACTCAAAATATAAGTATTAGTTCACAATTTATTAGCTCAGCTATTAAAGAAACCATACAGGATAAAAATAACAAATCGTCACATTCAACCACCAAATCTTAAATATTGTACAGTGGAACGCTCAAAGTCTGTTAAGTAACAGACTTGAGTTTCAAAATTTTTTATACCAAAATAATATACATGTAGCTCTTATTTCAGAAACTTGGCTCAAGCCAAGCATTCAATTTAATTTATGGGGTTATACCATTATTAGGAATGACTGCGGTAATAATCATAATGGCGTAACAATATTAATTAAAAATGGTATACATTTCTCTAAACTAGATACTTTTTATGATGATTCGTTACAAAACGTAGTAATTGTTATTAAACTGAAACATAAATGCATTGCATAAATCTTACGTTAGTTTTTACAGTCCTGGTAATAGTTTTCCTGCTTTTGAAAAGGCGAAGTTCGATCGTTTATTGTACAGTATTCCAAAACCGTTGATAATTGCAGGTGATTTTAACGCCCATCACACTTTTTGGGGTTGCAGTCGCATAGATTCTCGGGACAAAGCTAATATGGATTCCATGGATGACCATGACTTTATACTTTTAAATAATGGTCAACCAACAACTGTAGGCTCTCATATTTGGAAACCAAACAGTCTAGATTTAACTATGGTGTCTTCTTCTTTATTTCTTTCTTGTGACTGGCAAGTTCATCAGGACCCTTTAGGCAGTTATCATCTGCCAACTATCACAAAATTTACTCACGTAAGAGATCAACATGAGCCCTCTATTTCCTTGAACAACATTCCTTTTCACAGCAATCTGAAATTAGTAAATTGGGATAGTTATGAACAAATTGTTAATAAAATGTTAATGAACTTTAAAGTTGACAATAGTGATCTCCTTGACTCATAGAATGTTTTGTGCAATTATTCTATTGGGAATCAAATTTTCCGGGCCAAGCTTAAACCATAACACAACTGATAGTAATAATAACCGTCCTAGAAAAAGGTGTCAAGTACCTTGGTGGAATGATAAATGTTCAAAAGTAGTAGAAGACTGCAAGAACGCCTACATTAATTTCAAAACTAGTCTTAATAGTAAAAATTACATTAATTTCAAACGCGCACAAGCCTTTAAAAAACGCACTTTAAAAGAAGAACGTTGTAAAAGTTGGTCTGAATTCTGTTCATCAATAACTCGTTTGACATCTATAAATCGCATTTGGACTAAAATAAGAAAATTCAAAAAAAGCTTTCCGAGTTCTAACTAATTTTCTGACCTCGATTGGGTTCAAACATTTTTATATAAATACACACCGGATACTGTTTCACAACAGATAAGTATAGATGATGTTCTTGCGGTAAATAGTGATAATTCATACATGATCGGTTGTTTTACTATGCAAGAGTTAAAATCTGCTTTAGCCTCAAGAAAAGATTCTTCATGTGGCCTGGATTGGCTTTCCTACAGAATGTTTAAGCTTTGAAATGTTCAAACTCTATCTATTTTTTTAAATTTATTAAATAGTTTATGGTCGTCTTCTATTATCCCATAGGATTGGAAAACTGAGTGTTTGGTACCAATATTAAAACCTGGCAAAGACTTTAATTTGGCTGATTCTTATCGTCCTATTGCACTGAGTTCATGTGTTGGAAAAATTTTCGAACAATTAATAAAACAGAGATTATTTTTTCCACATAGAGAGTAATAATCTTTTACCTTACAATCAGTTTGGCTTTCGTTGTGGCCGTTCTGCTTGTGAGAGTCTACGTCATTTCTGTCTGGATATCCATGATGCACGTTCAAAGAATAAAGTACTAGTCGGTGTTTTTCTTGACATTGTAGAGGCTTTCAATAATGTAGATCTGAACAAATTATCCTCAATATTATTATTACTACAGGTACCTGGAAAAGTTGTAAATTGGATTTTTAAATTTTTGAACTACAGAAAGGTGTTTGTTAAGGTCAACAATCAGTTATTTGGTCCAAGATATTCTTGTAGGGGTGTATCACAGGGTATATATGTATAAGTATTGAGCCCATTGCTTTTATCCTATTCATACATCAGCTAAATTTAGCTCTGGGGTGTGAAGTTTCTAATCTGCAGTTTGCAGATAATTTAGTTGTTTATTGCTCTGATACTAATTTTTTACGTGTACAATCAGTCCTCAATGTTGCTCTCCAAAGACTAAAGAACTATTTTGATAGCCTTGGGCTGGAGGTCAGCAATGAAAAAAGTAAAGTTTTTGTCTTTTCAAAAAATGGAATTAGAAATGGGAATGTAAATATTTTGTTCAATAATAATGTAATGTCTGTAGAGAGCTCTGTAAAGTTTTTAGGTGTTATTTTTACAAAAAATTTTAGATGGAATAAGTATGCTGAAACTCTAGAATCTCGAGCTTTAAATGCTTGTAATGTTTTAAAATCTTTAACAAGCACATATTGGGGTGCTGATCCAAGGATTCTATTAACATTATATAACTCATTAGTAAGGAGTCATTTTGAATATGCTTTTTTTTGTTTTGCAGGGGTAAGAACTATAGTAAACAAATTAGAAAAGATACAAAATAAATGTTTGCGTATTATAATGGGTGCCATGCGAACTACTCCCATAGTGTCAAAACAGATGGAATGTAATATACCTCTATTAGCACTTAGGTTTAAATACTTACAATCAAAATTTTTTGCAAGGCTGCTCTCCATTAGTAAACATCCACTTCTTGTTAAACTGCAGGACACTATTAACAGGACTGCTAATATTAATTCATATGTGTTTCACGGTTTTTCTGAAACAGAACAAATTTTTAATTAACACAATATTTTTTCTAGCATGGTATGGCCTTGTTACTTTGGGTTATATGAATCAAAATTTATGCAGATTAAAATTGTAGTCAAAAGTCTTGTAAAGTATAAGGAAGACATTTATAGGGAAGTTGATAGGTGACTAGGATATCATCAAATATATACAGATGGATCTAGGAACAATGAAGCAGTCTCTATAGCTGTCTATAATAGTCAGGTCAAAAGTGGATTTGGTCGTAGGCTGAATCCACTCACAAGCATATACTCCGCTGCACCCATAGCTGTGTATACAGCTATAGAGCACATTCAAACACAGACTCATCCTAAGTGGATTATAATAACGGATAGTTTAAGTTTATTAACGGCACTACAGAATCCACAATTAAATTCAAAAACTAACTATATTATATATAAAATAAGAGAGTTGTATCACCTGCTGTCTCAAAACAAGCAAATAGTCCTATTCTAGAGCAAGCAGACTATTTTGCTAAATTTATTACAAATCCGGCCCACAATCAATTAAGTCATAACTTTTTAAATTTCCCAATTCCTTATTCAGACGCTCTATCCCTCTTCAAACTCAAGTTACAGAAAGAATTTTACAACTTATGGCATCAGGTGGTAAAAGTAAAAGGAAAATGGTTCGCTACAATAAAGAAAAAGGTCTCTTCTCCCTGGTTTACCTGGGGCAGTGACTATAGCCATAGAAAGTATTATACTACAATCTGTCGTTTGCGTCTGGGACGTTGTAGTTTTGGTGCTCACCTTTTTAGGATTGGTGTTATTGACTCTTCAACTTGTAGATATTGCAATAGTGCTGATGAAACCCTCGAACATATATTTTTTGATTGTCCACAGTTTAGTATACAAAGGATGGTCCTTGTAGGCCAACTTTTAAGTATTTTTAAAACTGCTGAAAATATCCCACGCTCTCTTCAGCAATTTACTAAGCATTCAAGAATGCTTCTTGCCAGTTTATGGCTTTATTGTATCTACTATAAATGAAATCTAATTGTTATATGTACATATGTATATAATACTAATTTTTTCGTTTTGCTTAAGATATTTGTTTTTCAGCTATTTCAACTATTTTCAGAATTCGACCGTTTTATCGATTGTGACAACTGACATATGAATTGTACTAAAAATGACATTACAAGGACTTGACATTGAAAAAAGACAGAATGTAAAAAAAAATAAGAATTTGACAAATAAAATATTATAATTAAAAAATGATTCAAGAAGAAAAATTAAAAGAAGACATGGCTTAGGCCTGATATAAAAACTTGAGTCAAGAATAGAAAAGGAATTTAAAACATTTAAAAATAATTAAAGATACAAAATACAAAAGACTCTTTGCCTGTTCTGAACGGAACGAACATAACATAAAAAAAATCTCTGACATCAAATTGTTTTTATTAAGTGTTTAAAACGGTTGTATGATTTTTTTTTTATATTTATGAATGTTAAACCGATTGCCTAAGAACAGAACTACAATTTATTTGGATTCAAAATTAAACAAAACAAAAAACTAATATATAAAAAAAATATGACACTTATAATTTTCTTTGTGTGATATTTTATAATACATATTACAAAATTTGAAACGACAGCGGACAAATCTCACGACAGCAGTTTACAAAATTTCGTTATTATTCAAGTTTAAGTAATGATTCTGTCAGTTTGACGTTGATAATCACTAAATATTTATATTCACTTTAAAAGTATTATCAAATAGTATCTTTAAACGTCGCATCTAGTAACCAAATCTAAACAAAAATAGAATACAAAATGCCTCGAGTTAAAATTGATTATGTTGTGAGCATGAGTAGTGAGGACCCTGTAAGAACTTTATACAACTACGTTTTTAAAATAAATCGCATTTGAATATATTCAACTACATTTGAATGGCACGTTTCACAGTTGTTTATCCCTACTAATATTATAAATGCGAAAGTAACTCTGTCTGTCTGTCTGTCTGTCTGTCTGTCTGTCTGTCTGCTACGCTTTCACGCCTAAACCACTGAACTGATTTTAATGAAATTCGGTACAGAGATAGAGTTGACCTTGAGAAAGAACAGGATAGTTTTTATCCCAGACTTTTGAAAGGTTCTCTTGGAAACGCGATATAACCGAACTCCACGCGGCGAAGCTGCGGGCGGAAAGCTAGTCTCTAATAAAGTAGCCACATACAAACTTTAATTTTCAGGAAAATCCGGCAAACAACCTATTATCGTGGGAAATAAACAAGAAGAAATGGCTCTGTAAGACGGGCGAGACCTCTTGTTCAGTAGTCCTACAACTGACTAAGGCTGTCCAGGTAGCAAATGATATGCTTTCAGAGAATTTAAAAAAAATTGGTTTGATATTAGAATTTTAAGAATCACTAACAATAAGTTACAATGTCTATTTTTGTATTAGTCATACTCATTTAGTTTGTAATAAAAAAAAATGTGTACATAATGCCATACTTGGTAAAGTTTTCAACTATCAATAACTGCATCTCATATTAACCTCTTTGGTTACAATATTGCCTCTGCGCAAAGTTATACAATGCCATACTTATGTTTAATATTTCAACAGATAGAATCAATCACGGTTGGAACTTATCACACATCCATGCTAGAGGTGCTAGTGGGATCATCGGAGAAGCCCAACGACACCTTTGAGGTATATGTGTATCCAGATTTAGTATCTAAGATTAAATTTAATGTTCCCTCTTGATATCCACACAAAACAATTAATCCTCTTACAAGACCTTTTCGAAAAATTGATTTGAGCAATAACTCACCAATTTCCAGGATGTCTAAAATTCTACATGGTAGTTGTAAACATTTGGACCCTTTAAGGGACTCACTCAAAACATGTTATAAGTTTTTGTTCAGCGATAAATTAAATAAATAATTTTTACATAAACAAAATATAGGTAATGATCTAATTTTTAATAAAATGAACCACCTGTAACCTAATTTTTATACAGAGATTTTAATAATTTTTACCAATAATTTAATATGTTTTTAATATAATGTAATAAATGATTTATAAACTTCCTAATTTTGCATGCTGTATCTGCCTTAAAAGATAATGCATTTAGAATTAAGCTACACTGTATTTTTTTTTACCCAATATTGTATAAAGTAATTATCACTGGTGGATCTTAAATAAAATAAAATATTTTTCAAGTGACTTATGAATGAAACACCTATATTGTAATTTTACACAAATATTAAATATATCCATTATTATGAACATACTAACACTTACAAAATCTGTACAGCATTTTCAACATTAATTTATCATTTAACAAAATGTATTATATTTGTGTAGGTGTTGGTCCCGAGCTGTGTGTTGTGTTCTCCACGAGAGGCTCGCGGAGAACCCGTTGAGAGAGTGAAGAGCTTCACACGAGATGAACTGACGGCCGCCCGACACACACGCTGGGACCGACTGAGGCTAGTCTGCTCACAACCTTACAATAGACACTGCAAGGTAAACTGACATACTTACTACATGTGTGGATTGAAAGACTTCCTTCAAGAACTTTAAATTCTTGTGAAGCAAGGCTTTAACGATTCAACATTACTTCATTACAATCGCGCAGAATAATGTCAGATCTATTATTTCTACACAAAGTATTGAACAATAATATTGATTGTCCAGTTATATTGCAATTATTTAATTTCAATGTTCCCTTAAGATTACCTAGAGAACCGAGCGCCTTATTTCGTGTACCGCTATACAAATCTAACTTAGGAAAATATTCCCCACCAGCTAGACTAGCACGCACATAATGATCTCTCCTCGAAGATCTCTAACCTTGATATTACTTATAATAATTTGCCTATTTTTAAATCAAATTTGTTAAGCTTCTTAAAAAATAATATCATTGAAACAAAAATTATTAATTATTGTTATTAACTCAAAATTAATTTAAAAAATGCTTACATACTTTTATTTAATTTATTTTGCATTTAATATATTCATTTAAACACAAATCGATTGATATTGTTATAAAACTGTTAAATAATTTAAATTGTTTTTAATTATATAATTGATTCTAAGAAAACAATCTTGTGATAATTACTAATGTTTAATATATTTAGTGCATGCTGTGATTACCCATAAAAAGAAATACAATTATCAAGTGTGTTCAATTGTTAACTATATAATATTTGTAATATTATTGTCATTTCGTTGGTGATCCTATAAAATAAATAAAAGAAATAAAAATAAAAAGAACTCTTTGATGGAACAAAACATTCAAGTTAATACTACATTACGACTTGGTTTAATTCCAGTATGGAATCTCATTTGTTCATATCTTTGAACCGGAAAGTTCAGCTCAATCGGGCCAGACGGCTGTGTCCATCCCTCGCATGTTGCGGCTCGACGAGATCGGTTCAGAAGATGAGGAGTTCCGTCCCGGAGAACTGTTCAACAAACACAAACAGGAACAAAACACACATACTAGTACTGGTATGATCTTCTACAATGAGAATAATTCATAGCAGGAAGACTAGACTGTCCCTATATGTCGTATTGCTGTGGACTGCATGCTCCCAGCTAGTGTTGGCAGGCGTCCGGATAAAGCCGGACACAGTTAGGCTTTTTGTTTGCATGTCCGGCCAAAATAAACGGTGTCCGGCTTGTCCAGCTTTTGTTAGGCTTTTTACATTTCACAAACAAGCGAGCACTGCCGACCAGTATGTTCTTGAATGTAATCAAATTTTCGATACTATAAGTATCCTATCGCAAAACAACGTTAAAATCGACGATAGCAAATGTTTTGACCGACTGCAAAATCTTAAAAGTTTTCTGAATACTAACAAAGAGAACGTTGATTTCAAGAAGCTATTAGCACATAAGAAATGGGTAGCCTATTTTAAATCCCTGATAAGTCATGATTCCTTTTCATAATTCCTAACTATTTGTCAGTATTACTTTGCTATCCCAGGACATAACGCAAACGTTGAAAGAGTTTTTTCCTTGATAGGTCAGCAATGGACGAAAGAACGAACAGATTACATGTTGATCTCTCTTTCTAATCTAACTGAGCTCTTAAAGCAGGTTTCGACTAACCAAAAATATTAATAATTATGTATTTTTATTGTGTAACTCAAAGAGAAAAAGTTTTTTTTGTTTTATATTTTAACTTAAAGAGAAGTTTTTGATTTTTTTTTACTTAAAAAAGTATATATTTTTTTTTAGTTTAAAGAACTTTATTCTCATTACGACAACGTCATTTACATGAGAACTTATAACTAACTTGTGTTTTTCTTACTTTACTTATTTGTGTTTTTCTTATTATTTAAGAAAAAATCAAACATGTTGATGAATGTTTAAGTATCTAGAATTTAATTTTGACTGATGACTATTTGACTGATTAATAAAAAAGTACCTATCTAAGACAAATGGGCACTCAATTTTATTTATTATTTTACTAGAAATTAACAAGATTTATGATAATAATCAAAAGACTTGATTTTACATAAAACAATATTGTCCTACCTATTAATACTAAGACAAAATCCTCAATAATATAGAGTGTCCGGCTTTTTTAACCAAATGTCCGGCCAAACTGGCTGTTCTGTCCGGTTATTAGGTTTGACGACCTGGTACTCCCAGCTATAGTATTGATTTTTAATTTTTGTATGTAATTGTAATAGTTAATAAATTTACTAACATTTAAATATAAGTAATATTCTACTAACAAAACTATGGGATCCAATTTCTTGAAATAAACGTATTATTAGTGTTATTATAATTCATATTACAAGTCAAATAATATAAACTTCTGGAACATTCTAGATGCACAGATCAGACAGGCGACGTCGCGGGCACTCAACAATATAGGCGACTCCTCAACCAGATTAACAAAGACGCCGATAACGAAAACTAACAACAGACTGTTAGGAGAAAACTCGAGTTGTTCAAAAAGAGAAAAGAGAAGTCTTATATACACAGAAGATGACGAGCAACCACACAAGAAGATAGACAGAGTTATAGAGAGACACGAGAGAGAGAAACAGAGAGAAGAAATAAAGAAGAAGAAGACTGACCAGGAGGACAAGAAGAAGAAGACGATCACTACCAGAGAAGAGAGTACAGGAGATGAGAAGAACAAGGAAACAAAACAAACGGACAACCGGACACCGGACCACACACACACTACAGTAATGAATACAAACAAGAGGAAACACTCCCAGGAAGGTACGGGGCATGTCTTATATGTTGAATCATTACATGTTATAATATTAATTGACTATAACTATATTTATATTAATTTTTAGATGTACGTCTGATGTCACTTTTCATTTCGGCTCATTGCATCTTAAAAACTCTTGTCTTGAGGAGATAAAAGTTGTTCATTTTATTTAAAATGGTTGTTATATACATATACACGTGTTATTCCAGCTCCGTCCCGCCCTCTGTCGTCCGTCCTGTCGGGCGTGGTGTTCTCTATATCGGGCTACGTGAACCCGCGTCGAGCGTCGGTCCGCGCGGCCGCTCTCCGGATGGGTGCGCGCTACACGCCCGACGTCACCCACGACTGCACGCACCTCATGTAATACACGAACAGTAGAGTAGATATAGTAATCTTCACTAAGAGTGGAAAGAATCAATTACCGAGGTAGTTAGACGGCCATGGGCCGGGTTGGAATTGATTCTGTTAAACCGCGTTATAGTGCGTTTGATGCTGAGCTTTGCATTTGTGTGAGTGCATTACACGGATAGTGTAGGTGTGATGTCAAATTTTTGAATGCCACGTTCTTTTCTAGTTTTGAACCGGTTTATTCTGCTTTTACTCCGCCCCGCACCTTCCTCACTTCACCTTTTGTACTTAGCAAAATCAAATGTTGAAAACGCAATGTCAAGTTAATAAGAATTTGAATAGGTTTTTCAAAAATTTTATGTATCAATATTTTTTTTCATTATATTTCCATCTGGCCTTTTACAAGTTTTGCTTATTTTATAGCACTTATATTATGTATCTTTTTAAAATATAATAAAATTGAATTCTAGTTCAATTCTAGTTTCAGTTCAAAGTTTTTTGTCTAACTCTACTTTTACTTTCACTCACACAAATGCAAAGCTCAGCTTAAGTCTAACGGACTACAACTACTTTTCATTTCGAATAAATGAGGAAAATAAAACTAGTATATAGTTTATGTGAACTAAGTTTTTATTGATAATATACATTGAATAATTTTGAATATGGAGTTCACCGCGTATTTGTTGCGGCTTATTCCGCTAAAAGAAGTTCTTGCCAAAGAGAATACAACATCTAGAGTTGCGCTTAGTAAGTTCACAGTGGCTGTTTAGAAACTCGCATGGCCTCAGCATTTGGTTTAATTTTTACTCATAATATCAGCGCTGACAGTAGTTGTATTTTTGAAATTCATTCCGACCCTTGGGTGGAAAGTAATTTGTATGAGTTTTTCCCGCCCCGGGGAGGGAAAAAGTATTTTCCACCCTATAATCAGATCAAAACAACACTACTTTCCGTGTATGAGGAATGAAAACTAACTTACACATACACTGAACCTGAATTGATTTATATATAAAATTAGCTTTCGAATGACGACCAGCTCCAACGATCTATAGGAAATTTACCAGTTATACAGGGTGTTCTAAAAACTGTGTCAACCCTTAAAGGCATGTATACATATAAGTATAAGCTTATTATAAAAAATAGTATAACTTAAAAAATATCAAGCAGAGGTCAGTTACAGTGCATAGGTTAAATAAATTTTAAATCGACATTATTTGAAAAAATGTTTCAAACATCTGACCCATACAAGGTCAAGACACCGTATAGTCGCGCGGGCGCACGCGCGGTCATTCACCGCAGGCGCCGGGCCGCCGGCGTTATTATTACTAGTTTGTTAGTTTTTCGAATAGAGCCTTGCAAGTTTAAAAATTAGGTATATATTCTATCGATATTTCCAATATTGCTATAAATAGTTATACTTTTCACATTAAAATAATTTCATTTAAGATAACTTTTATTAATAATAAATATTTATAATCAATATTATAATTTGGAACTTCTTCAGGTAAATTAACTATGTTGTATTATTAGGATAAATCGTTAATCTACTTCTGTTAAAAATGGTGTTTTAAAATCAAAAATAATATTAATGTTTGATATATCAAAATAAGTATCGAAATAATTTGAATATTAAATATTTATTAATTGTTATGATTTTTTAAATATCGATATTTTCAATAATGTGAAAGTAACTTCGAGTTCGCCACTAATAGCGCAGCAAGTGTGATGACGCCATTGAGTCTCATCGTGTTATATTATATACCAGGGCTTACAAACATTTGGTTACTCTGCATATTATAATCATTTAATATTAATTTAACATTATTATTTTTATAAATGCAAGGTGTTTGATTGTGTTCCATTTTCAATACTGATAACGAAGTTAAGGTGGTTGACACAATTTTTCATACACACTGTATATTCGCTGTTTAGGATTTAATTAACTGCTAAGTAAAGATCATACATGTCTGTCTCTCCCTAGTTGTGCCTTCCCCAATACTCCGAAACTCCGTCTGGTACGGGACGGCGTGGCCGTGGTTAAGGCAGAGTGGATCGAGGACTGTCTGCATTCAGGGACCAGGCTCAAGGAGGGGAGATACGAGACGAGGGGAGGGGGAGGGGGGCGCACCCGGGACGAGAAGGAGGAGAGGGGAGGGGGACTTCACCAGGGCGAGGAGGAGAGGAAGGGGGACGGGGGAGGGCGGCGACACATGGACAGTAAGGAGAGGGAAGTTGGGCGCCACCAGGACGATGAGGGAAGGGAAGACGGGGGAGGGGGAGGGGGACGGCACCAGGATGGTGAGGAGAGGGTTTGATGGGGGGAAGGGAGGATGCGTGCCGGTAATGTTGTAACGATGACCTTCACACACCGCAGAGACGGAACACGACACGGACGACGAAATAGAACAAGTGATGAGACGACAGAAGAGAAAACGAGTGAAGGAAGAGGAGGAGGAGGAGGGAGGGGACACGGAGGAGGAGGACGGAGAACAGAGGAGGGAGGAGATAGACGAGAGTAAGGTGAGGGTCGGTGTAGGGTAGAACCGTGGACAGAGGTAACGAGGTGAAATGAATTTGATGGTGAAACCTTAACATTACATTTTATATGTCATATTGGAGTATGTTAAGTGGTATCGTTCACACGTGTGTGTTCGTGCCTGTATATATATACATGTGTGTGTCTGTGTCCCCAGTCGCTGCCCCAGTTCCTGTCGGGCGCCACGTTCTCCGTGTGTGCTCGCCTGCCGCCGCCGGTCCGCTCGCTCGTGGCGCGCTACATCACCGCGTACGGCGGGGTGGTGCTGCAGGTGATACACACACACACACACACACACACACACACACACACACACACACACACACACACACACACACACACACACACACACACACACACACACACACATTAACGTCTCCCCCGTCCTTATGTACTCGTGATAGCATCTGTTGTTAGACCAGTTGTTATCGTTTGTTGAATATATAATTATACAAGGTGACTGGTGAATTACTATCGATATTTGAGGACGTGATATTTGACGATCATATATGACAAAATAAAAATTAATATAACATAAATATTAATAAACTTTTAAGTAAAGTTAACCAAAAGTTATGTAATTAATTACGCATCGTATGAACACCCTACAGATTAGGTATACACACACACACACACACACACACTCGCGCGCGGCGGCGTGTTGTTGTATCAGCACGTCGCCGCACGCGTCCACACATGGAACACTTGGAACGTGTACACACTTTATTTATTTATACGGAAATTTGGTCAAAAATTAAGTACCTATTTTTTTACATAATTCGAATGAGAATCATGTACCGAGTATGCTCCTTAAATATTGATAGTAATTCACCAGTCACCCTGTATTTAGCATATAGAAATAAGGTGAAATTGTTAATCTGTCTGAGGAGACCACTTATAAGAAATAATTTTGTTATCTATATTTAGTTTAGTCTATACTCGTATTTGTTGTCTATGCTCTCTGCTAACGTATGAATAATAAAGTATACAGTTTGGTTGAACAGAAAATCTCAATTTCATTTAATACAAGGAAAATCCTATACAAAACCTAAATAGTTAACATCATTGACCACCCCGTCTCTACTGTGTGTTTCAGTCGGTGAGTGAGTCTCCTCAGTTCGTCATCAGCTCGTCGTCCGCCTCGAGCCCCGCCTGGCTGTGGGCGTGTCACACACACGGACGACTGCTGCCGCTCAACTGACGACGAACAAGAGGACCGTGTGTAGATGACAGGATACACAGACACACAGACAGTATTATAGTGACTGATGGGATGACGTGCTATCGACCCACGGAGATGAAAGAATACATTTGAGTAAAAGAGATAATTGATTATTAAAATATTATACATTAATAATTGCATACTGTTTTATTTAATAAAAACTGTTTATAGGGCTAAGGCTTTGCCAAATATGGGTAAATATTATTTTAAGGAAATTATTTTATGAACAAAAGGTGAAGTTAGTCAATTATTCAAAACTATTTAATATTACGTTATCTTTATACGTGATTAGATAAATTGAACAATTCAATTTAGTATTTGTAGATGTATTTGTTGATATTTTTTTATTAATTCGTTGATAAAATCAATTGTTATTTCCAAAACCATAGAGTTATTAAAATACTACTGTTCTTACATTCATTTACTTTTCCTGCAATAAAAACATATTTTTAAACAAACATTTTAAAATTATTTCGACTTTTTCATATCATTTGTCCGTGAACACGGTTTTAGCGAAGTAATCGAAACGTCGGGAGTAGTATGCTGTTAAAAATAATCATAAAAGCGTAGTAAGCCCGAAAAATATTATAGGCCAATGCAGAAGCCTTTAGAAAAAGGAGGATAATATTATTAAAATTAAAGGAAAAATAATTTACGGGCGATCTGAGGTCAGGAACTGTATGGGGGTGGTTATTTAAGGGTGAAAAATGTGTTTTCTCGTTTTCCGGCAAAACAAATTCCTACGGAAAAATGTTATATGGCAAAGTTGTAGGTAATAAAAAGATCTAAAACTTTTGTACTAACCTTATTTTCACATAACCTCAAAATTTATGTGAAAAACCAAGTTTTTTTGTTTTTTATTTTTATCTCTTCAATAAACAATTTTTTGTCACGAAATTTGGTGCAAACTTTCCGTTTGATGTTACAAATGCAGTGTAATTTATTTGATTAGAAATATTATATTATTTTGTTCAGCTTATTTTGAATAAATACCGAAAAATCAGCCTCATTTTCAATCGAAAAATCACCCGTCAAAATATTAGCTATTTTCAAAGTTTTGGTTTGTCTTTATTTGTTAAAATCTCTATTTCCGATGGTGGAGAAAAAAATATAAGTTTCTTACTTACAGTATCATTTGTAGATAAAATAATATGTCCCTTTTAATAAAATGACACTCGGTATCGTTTGGAAAATGCTCTTTCAATTTATTTGTTACAATAGTTTTAGCAGCTTAATGTCAATTTTCTGTAAATTACCTAAAAGACCTAAAAGAGCTACTATCTGGAGAACTTCCAGAGTACTCAACTATTAAAAATAAATTAGAAAGAGCATTTTCTAAACGATGTCGATTTAAATGAAATTTTATAAAAAAAAAACAAAAAGTAGTCGTTTAAAATATGACTCTTCCTGACACATATTGGCGAATAGTAATACTACTTTTTGCTCATTGCTTTTACTAATTGCTTTAACGACATAACAGCAGATGGCGTTGTTAAGTACCAGGAAGTCAATGGGTGTTTGTTTTGAGGTTAGACTAAGAAATTAATTATTTATTTAGGGGTGAATATACGCTATTTGATTTCCATTGGTCTATAGAAAAATTTTACGTAAGACTTATTATATCATGGTCTCTCTATTCTTAAACAATAAAGAACATGTTATTTTATCTGGCCCACAAAGACTATTCACGATAATTTTATAATTTAAAATAGTTAAAAATGTATATTCCTCTGGCCTTCCCATTTATAAATTAAAATGAACTTATGGCTGAATACTTTCAAAAAGTCCACAATTATGTTTTTTATTTAATGTGGTATTACGCTTTAATAAACATAGAAACATATTTTAACAAAATTAAGACTAAAAATATTTATTAATATAAAATAATATAACTTATTTTCGAGTCATGTTACGATTCTGTCACTTCATCTGGCCGAATACAACGACTTAAAAAAAAATGGTTGTTTGTAAAGTAATCACTTCTTTCTGCTTTTGATCTTAAAGAAGATGCAAAAAACAGTTTCAAATTTAAGGCAAGCTAAATAAAATGAGCAAAATTTAAAAAAAAATTGGATCAGTTTTCAATAAACTTTCTGAAAGTAATTTTATGCCAGTCGTTGGAGTATTTGCTTTGGTAAGCATATATATGTATTTGTATTTTATCAACTTTCTTAGCTAATAATAATCAATGGTATGACAATACCCTGCTTTAATTTGTTACTGCTCTGGTTACACATTTCCCTCTGGTGCTTATAAAACTGAAAAAAAAAATCTTCTGTCCCCTGTGATTACTTATTTTAAAATAGTATCAAATAAATAAATTATAAATTTTGAATGGAACCGATAACATTTTCTTCTGGGACACGAAAAAGCAAAATAGCGTATTTTCACCCTCATCGACATATACATACTAATGGACATGCCGTACGCGTATAATCTGCAGTATTTTTTTGGTTTGAAAAGAGTGAGAGAGATGGCCTATGCTTTCGGTCTAGCACTATCTCCTTCCTCATAGATGATTGGCGCTCAGTTTTCATGAACTGAAAACTGGGCGCCAATCATCTATCTATAGCTGAACACAACACTAGCGGAGTGTATAATGATAGTGAGGAGACTACGGCATTGTACACAACAAAAAGCATTATTAATATATGTATGTAGAACAGGTTTTATTTATTAATATTAGTATGTCTGGTAATATGAATAATTATATGAGTATTTCTTACGCCAGGATTTCGGGTCAAGTATCAATACGACAAATAAAACATCAATTTTCATGACAGATTTATTCGTTGACTCACTGGCAAACTTAATTGGTCCACCTTTTATTGCTTCTAACTAAAAGACGCGTGCAATACTCGAGGACGAGGGGAGGGAGGCTGCGGCAGGAACCACGCGGGAGTCTCGAGAGAGGACTCGGCGGGGAGTGAGGAGGAGGAGGAGGGAGGGAGGGGGTGGGAGGACGAGGAGAGACGAGCCTTAGAGCGGGGCGCAGGCGGCGGTGGACCAGCGAAGTTGCCGCGGCGGCGGCCGCGCGCGCCTCACCTACTCTTATTTTTAACCTAACTATGTACAAAATTAGTACCCGTTTAAGTATAATAATAATAATAATATAAGTATGTCGAGGATTTATTATTTACAGGATAGAAGACACGCAGTTCGAATCATCGCACGAGGCGAGGCCGGCGTCACTTGGCGTCGCCAACGGGCGCGGTCTGTGCGCTCTGTGCGGTGTGTGCGGGCGGCGCGGACGGCGAGCCCGCGGACATGCGCGCCAGGGCCTTGTAGAGGGGAGAGTTGACGAAGCGCGGGTAGGAGTCGCGGTGCATGAGGGTGTAGATCTGGAGCTGCGCCTCGTCGAAGGTGTGCGGCGTGGGCTCCACCATGTTGCGGTTCACGGTCTCACGGACGCGCGAGTCCAGAGAAACCTGACGAAAATAGGATATTTCAAATTTAACATCGCATAAAAATACACTTAACTATCGATAGGCTTTAATTGTTAAGATATCTACAAGTTCGACGCCAGATTGAGTCAAAAAGGGCTCAAGACTATAAAGTATCATCTGCATCTAATAAAACCGACGCCGAGCATAGCCAGGTGTGGTAGTGAGTGTGTCACATGAAGGAGACAGACCTCTTTCGGAGACAGGATGGAGATGTAATCCTCATAGATGAAGCGCGCCTTCTCCTCCACGGCGTCCGGGTCCACTTCTCTCTTGAGCTCCTCACAGGCGAGCCAGAACATGATGTTCTCCTCCGAGTACTCGCCGCGCAGGAAGTCGCGGAACACTTTACGACCGGCTGCATGCGCCGGCACAGGGTTTGGAAACGAACAAACATACATACATCATTAAACATACAAACATAAAGACACGACAGCTGAAAGAGAGCCAGCGAAATTTATACGTACTAATGATAGGAAAAAGGGTTAGTGTGGTAGTATTTAAATTAGTTTTTAAGGACTTTTTACTTTCTATTTTAAAATGAATAAACTGAAGAAATAACTTCCAGCAGGAGGGAAGTATATCTCCTACAATTTATTCTAAAAAAACTTTTGTATCGTGGCAAATAAAATTATAAGAAGATTGTTGTCATCAAAATCAGTCAAATTCACGTTTTAAAGGCACAAGTGTTAGATTAAATACCGACTCAGATATAGACGCGTGTACTTACAAGGAAAATCATAACCAGCGATGGATTTACTCCAATTTAATTACTAATAAATAAAATTCCAAAAAAACATAATAATATGTATGACAAAAGTTAAGTAGGAGCACATGTGTATAAAGAGTTTATATAGGTGAGGATAACACGAGCCACGTTACATGAAACAAGGAGGCCATACTAGAAAGAAGTAGTTATTATTTATAAATTATATTATTTAAAACAACGAATTCTGAACGTTGGAAGGCATACTATCAAATTATATTGAAATTATTTTGTCACAGAATCAAAGACAGCCTCTACATACAATACGCTGGTACCGGTCACAGTAACTGGCCTCCGTCCGCTCGCTTGTGATCCGAGACACAACAGACACATATGTAGGTAGAGAGAGATCGGTGTTAAAAAAATGTTTAATAATCGACGAAAAATGTTGATACAGATATGAAATTAAATTCATGAACGGAAATATTATTATTAAAAGTAAAACAAAAGGAACGAGGATGGATGAGGAAGTGTTGACGGAGGAGCGTCCTCAGCGATGATAACATAACTTACATAGATTCAAAACAATTTGATTTCTCACACACTCGCGTATATTAATAATGTTTTAAGGAGACTTACAAACCATGCTTTGCGACAACTTTAATTATTTTTATTTTCTATTAATAATAATAATGATTTCTGACTGGGCGTTGCTTTACTGACACTACTACATAATAAATGGAAATAAAGATATATATCGTAAACGCGATGTCTCAACGAAAGCTAATACACTCTAGATCTACAAGGAGAGGGTTGAGGCTGGCCTTGCGTCTGGAGCTGTGTTTGTGTGACGAGAACCAAACTCAGACCTGTGATGAGCCACAGGTGTCATAACACTCAGTATATATTTAATCTGTAATTTCTAATAACTTGGTCATGTTCATTTAATCTAAAAGTGTATCAAAACACCTGGCTCGCTGCACTTCAGGTGCATTTTTGGTGAATCCTTGTAGGATACATAATAATTAACTTATCAGAAATGCATCTGATAAATATTTAGCCTAAAATATATATTAACGTAAAAATATTCTGAGAAAAAAGTAGATGAAAATAATACTATTGAAATTGAAAATATATCTTTATATAAAAATTGCTAGTCTTTTGCTAAAACGTTATACAGATATCAAATACTCGTAGGATCCAATATGATAAAGGAATTTTTGGAATGAATTGTGTTCTAGATCATAAGAGATCAAGTGAAGCTGGAACCATATGAATAAAGAAGAGGGCGTGATGCTGGGAAAAGATCGAGATAGACTCTCTCAGTCACTCGTGGTAAGGGAGGTGATCAGGGTTACTCGACTCACAACAAAATAAGAACAAAAGGAATATTACAAATCTATATAAGAAAGTCGTGTTTATAACTCGAGATCGGCTAGACCAATTTTCACGGTTTTTGGTTCGTTGGATTTGTCTCCGCCCCGAGTAGCAGAATAAATACATATTATAAAAAAAAACTCGACGAAAACATATAAAGGATCGAACCGGGTTGCACCTGTCATTTGTCAAACATTTGTTGTCCATCCTGTCAAATACAATAAATAATGGTTGACATGAGTTCATAAATAATGACAAATGATTAACGTTTACGCGTGCGTTTATTAATTTATTTTGTGTAAATTAAAGATTATTTTCTATAATTATTATTATTTAGCGACATATATATAGAAAGAAATTGGAGTTTCATGTAATTAACTCCCACCAAAATATAACAGATGGCTCTAGCAGTTTAATAAATGCAGGCCTTCATTTGAAGTACATAAAAATATAAATGTTACATTTTAAAACTGTTGTGAATATTATTCGTTGAGATCTGGATAGATTATCAAAATACTAAAGACTTATACAATTATAGTATTTATTTAATTAATTTAAGAAGAAGACAGACCATTGTCTGTTGAGTCAGCTGTACATAATTAAGAAATTAACTTCATTGAGATAAAAAGGTAACAGATATATTTTTAATTAGAGGGCGGTACGAAGTCCGCCGGGTCATCTAGTTAAAAACAAATGTTGAAAGGGTTTCATCATTAAAGAAGTCTCAAACCGTATACAATTACATATTATTAACGACTTAACATTTTATTAATAATCGTAATAAAAATTAAATCCACACAAACCTGCGCTCCTCATCAATCGATCAAACGATTGTCCCCAACTCTGGATTTCCTCGAGCGTCGGTCTGGAACAGACGAGCAACGTTACGACTTGTAGCAACTTGTTGGAATGTATGTGTATGTGTGTGTGTGTGTTTGTGTGTACTCACGGCGCGTCCCCATCGAGGAGCAGAGGCTCGTGGGGTCCGGGCTCCCGGGGCTTCTTACCGGGACCGCCGTCCGCACCGCGAGCCGCCAACCTGGAGACAAGCGACTTCAACACTAACTACATAACTCACACCTTACAAAATATTTACAAACAACAAACAGCAAAATGTAAAAATGTGAGTTGTATGTCAGGAACGGGACGCTCGTGAGTCGTCCAGTTCGACTCCGACCTTACCACTTGGCCCTGCAACAAACAGACGACCGTTACGATACTTTGAATGTGATGTAACACAAGGATCATAAAGAACTAATGAGGACTGACTGACCAGGAACACGAGCAGCAGCAGCACCAGCACAGACAGCACGGCTTGGCGGCGGGCCGGCAGCCGCGCGCCAACGCTGACAGGCTGCACATCTGACGTTCACATACATACATACATACACTTGACAATAACACGAATACGGAACTATACAGGTGGTGAGGGGGAAAGGTCTGCTGCTACTACTTAGAAGGATAAGGATCGCGTCAACAGAATTATAATTGTCATAATAGGATGTCTAATTATAAAGGATTAATAAACCATTTCCCATATCTTACAATACACTTGTACTTTTTTCTTATTAACTTTATATGAGTAAGACAAGTTATTATATATTATATACTTGTAATGTATAAATGAATGAGCTATTTTTATTGTGCGAATGCTCCGTTTTGATGCTCGGCCTAATGAATGTGTGTTCTCTGTATAATAGTTGTTATTAGTATTGAGTATTGTTGTAAGTCGAGCATGTAATATGTAACATGTATGAATGTCGGACATACCGTGTTCCGCATAACTTTACAATAACAGCTAATCAGTTGTTGAGGTTCACAATCAGTGCCAAGATGCTGTCCATAGAGATCATAATCTATTAACGTGTGTGTGTGTGTGTGTGTGTGTGTGTGTGTGTCTGCGTGTTCGCGTGACACCTACCTACAGCTAGGCTGATGTATAGCGAGCCACTCCTCTAGACCAACGCCCCTCCACTCATACCTCCATAGTCGTCACTCACTAAGTGCACTACTTTTTATTTCACTGTGTCGAGAGATAAACCTACGTGCATCAACTTTAAATTTAGGCCTTTAAAAATCCTTTTATCTTAATGAGTTCGAGTCGCTAAAATTATATTATATTGCGGCACATATCACATCAACAGCACATGTGTTTACGTCTCGTTCGAAACACCTATATAGAACATACAGCTAGATGAAACAGATTGCATACGAAATAAACGAAACTACTGGGCAGGAGACAACCGGCGAGGACGGGGACCTGGCTCTTAGACCTGCGAGTGGAGCCTGGGATTACATTGATCATATGAACGATAGGTCGAGGTGAAAAGACAGGTGAAACATCACACTTGTGGACTGTAATAGTGAAGGCTTCACAAGAAAGTTGCTACTTAACTATTATAAAGGAAAAGTGTTTACGTTCAGACATTAAATCAAAATGACATTAATCAGTGATTTAATGGAATTTTCGGGATTCAATGAAAAGAGTTATCGTTCTCGAAGCAGTCGGGGAGTAGGTCGACGGGTTGAGAGAACGGAACAAGGACGCGGCCACGAGCGAGGAGCGGAAGAGAAGCGGGCGGCGGAGACGAGCGTGAAAATAAACAGAGTTCGGAGGGTAGTGGGTGAGGGTCAGAGAGGAGTATTTATAGCACGTCCATTGAGGCGCGCTCCGGCCGCCTGCGCGATCACAGAGAGTTATATCGGTGACGACGGCCGCGTAAACACCGCGGGGAGGCGACGAGCAGCGGCCGCCGGGGACCACGCCGACTACGGGCGGTCGATACGGGCGCGGCCGCTCCCTGCGACACACGGGCCCGGGACGGAGAGGCCTTGTACACCGACCTCCGAACAAAGGTTCACTCCGACCGATTTCACGTCGATCATGAACACTCTACGTTCGAAGCCTAGCGTCCGAGGAGTGCTCCACGAGCTACCTCGGTCCGGGCGAGGTCCTCGTGCGGCCCGGCGAGGCTCACCTGCCGGCGGCTAGGTCTCCGGGGCTGCCGGTGCTGGCGAGGCTGCCGGGGCTGCCGGGGCGCCGGCCATGCCGGCGCTAGCGGCGGCGCGGGCGCGGCATGGGGCGGACGCGCGGCCGGCGCGGGCGAGGCGGCGAGGGCTGCACGGGGACGGGCCGCGGCCGGGGCGCGACTGAACGATCGACCGCGCCGCGACGCCGCCGCCCCTCCCCCGCACACCCCTCGACCGCGCAGGCGCGCCGCGACGCCGCACTCGCCCGGCCTGACCTAGTGCGGGCACGCCGCCTCGCCCGCTCTCCGCTCGCCCCCGGTCGATGAACCGCTTCACTCTCGGGGTCCGAGCCGCTCGTAAGCGCCCGTCGCCATCTACCTCATCCATATTGATTTTCCCAGAAGCGCGTCATCGCTCATTTTCATTCATGGAGTCGGTAGTAGATCGTCTATAATTGTGTCGTCGCTACTGAAGCTCGCTGAAAGTCTCCTATTCGGTACCTACTTATATTTCCTCGATCTTAACAATATGGACATGCTTCTTTAAACCCGTAGATGTCATTTGGGCTTGAAATACACATTTTTTTTAAATATTCACTGATAAATATTTATTCCCTTCAGAAACCAAAGTCGTTTAATGAGATCGACATTAGAGTTCTAACTGAAACCTTGTGTTTGAGACGGTCCGATGTAAACCACTCGTCATCAACTAACTTCTTCAGACTCGACCCTTGAAAGCTCTATCGTAATAAATACTTTAATACTCAAGCAAGCAAATTATTATTATGATAAAAGTATATACTTAGGCCAGTGCAGATGCCTCTAAAAATGGTGAAAAGTGAAAATAAATTATAGTAGAATGAAACCCATTAGAAAAGGAGGGGAATATTATAAAAATTAAGGAAAAAGTAATTTACGAGTGATATAAGGTCGGGAAGGGTACGGGCGTGGGTATTTAAGGGTAAAAAATGGGTTTTCTCGATTTCCGAAAAAACTAAGAGTCCTAATGAAAAATGTTATATCGCAAACTTGTAGGTAATAAAAAGATCTAAAACTTTTGTATTTACACTTTTTTCACATAACCTGAAATTTTTTGTGATAAATTCGAAAAACCAAGTTTTTGGTTTTTTATTTTTATCTCTTCCAAAAAACATGTTTTTGTCACGAAATTTAGTAGAAACTTTCCTTTTGATGTTACAAATGCACTGTAATTTATTTGATAAGAAATATTTATTTTTTCAGTTTATTTTGAATAAATACCTAAAAATCAGCCGCATTTTCAAACGAAAAATCACCCGTTTAAATAACAGTGTTTTTCAAAAATTTGGTATGTTTTCTGTTCGTTAAAATCTCTATTTTCCGATGGTGAAGAAATAAATATAAGCTTTTTACTTACAGTACCATTTTTGGATAAAATAATCATGTCACTATTAATGAAATGACACTCGATATCGGTTTGAAAATGCTATTTCTAATTTATTTTTAATAGTTGTGTACTCTGGAAGTTCTCCAGATAGTCCCTCTTTTAGGTAATTTACAGAAAGTTGACATTAAGCTGCTAAAACTATTAACAATAAATTGAAAGAGCATTTTCCAAACGATATCGAGTGTCATTTCATTAAAAGGGACATGATTATTTTATCCAAAACTGGTACTGCAAGTAAGAAATTTATATTTTTTTCTTCACCATCGGAAAAAAGAGATTTCAAAAAATTGAAAACATACCAAATTTTTGAAAATAGCTGATATTTTGACGGGTGATTTTTCGATTGAAAATGAGGCTGATTTTTCGATATTTATTCAAAATAAGCTGAAAAAATAAATATTTCTTAACAAATAAATTACAGTGTATTTGTAACATCAAAAGGAAAGTTTTCACTATATGTAGTGACAAAAAATTGTTTTTTATAAGAGATAAAAATAAAAAACCAAAAACTTGGTTTTTCGAATTTATCACATAAATTTTCAGTTTATGTGAAAAAAATGTTAGTACAAAAGTTTTAGATCTTTTTATTACCTAAAACTTTGCCATATAACATTTTTCCGTAGGACTTTTAGTTTTGCCGCAAATCGAGAAAACCCATTTTTTATCCTTATTTACCCATCCTCATACCCTTCCCGACCTCAGATCGCCCGTAAATTATTTTTTCTTTAATTTTTATAGTATTCCCCTCCTTTTCTAATGAGTTTCATTATACTATAATTTAATTATGTTTTAAAAGCTATCGGCACTGGTCTAATATGATTGTATGCGATTGAAATATTTACTATTAACAGAATTGATGATTAATTAATAATAAACTAACATAAGGATGCGGAACTGATAGTGATATAAAATATACTTAGCCAAGAGGAATCGGGTATAGGCGAGTGGGATGGGGTAGAACTGGGTGGGACTATGTATGTACGGCCGAGTGGGACTGGCTGGAACTGATCGAGACTAGGTGTAGCGGAATATGTCTGGATAAAACTGACTAGGACTGGCTATACACGAGTTTGATCGGGTATGAAGAAACAACGGCTGAGTTTAACTATGTATATAAGAGTGGATACAATCAAAGCCCAAAACTTAAATTCCTGTAATGCCGTGACAAGAAGTATTAAAACTAATCTTGTAGAAGTTCAAGCCCACGGTGTTCTATTTACTAATTAATTATAATTGTCTTTAAGTACATCCATTTATTATTTTAAATAATATTCGTTAATGTGTGTGTCGCTTCAAAACACGTAACCAAAAATAATTATATTAAACTCTAAACATTTATGAATGTTCAATGAAGACAGTTTTCATTATGATAATAAAATTGTAATATTTTAATTCATTGCTGAAGTTTTACTATAGTGTCCTAAACATTTTGATAAAATATTGAGTCGGTCGTTATGGTGTTTATCTGTTGGAGTATGTTGAGTATCCTGTAACAGAGAGCAGCAGGTAGCGAGCATGGATGTGAGTGGAGGTTGGAGAGGATCGATAGCGCGCCTTCGTGTCCACTGTGGAGGTGTTCAACTGTATCGACGCAACACGGTGCGCTGACTGAACACGAGCTATCGATCGATGGACCGGCGGGGGGTGGAGCCGGTGCTGCGGGGTGCGGGGGGTGTGCGGCGAGGGGTCGGGCGCCACCGGGCGGCAGGCATCGATCGGGCGGCGGGCGGCGGGCGCTAGTAGGCGCACATCCTCGCGGCCGGCAGCGCGCCACCGACCGGCCCCTGCTGAGGCCCGCGCCCCCGCTCGCTCGGCCTGCAGCGGCAGCAACACGAGGCGGTGCACCCCGGGGGGTGGGTGGAGGGAACCCTCTACATCCACTGACGATCATATCTCACCCGAAACGCACTACAGATTTCCCTCACCGAAGCACGTACATGACATTGTTTTCTCCTCACGATATCCACCTTATAGAACTGAACATTATAAAAATAGCAATTTGAAACCTCTAGCCTTGTAGCGTTCGGGCTCGGGATCATCATAATGTTTGAAGCTACCTTCAAAACATATTTACGTATTCCGCTCATTTTGCGTATCTGGAAATTTGAAGTTCGACATTCGGTTCACGACACGGTATAAAGTACACTAGTTGTACTTGTGATAGTTTTCTTTCTCTTTTTAATGTTACGATGATCGTTTCTATAATTTTGTATAAGAATTCTTTGTCGATGTGTAATATGTATCACTAAGTTAAACTTTCGTTATAGAGATCTAAGGTCAAAGATGGAGGGTGGTGCGGGAGTAGGAAGCGTCGCTTCTCTCACGATGGACTGCGAGGACATGTTTAAAGAAATTACGAAAAAACTGTACGGAGAAGAGGCGACTGTGGGTGTAGGAGTGAACGGTGTGGTGGGCGTGGAGTTCCCTGCGGCGGAGCGGGACCTGCAGGACGACGAGCTGCGGCCCGAGGAACACATCACGGCCTGGGGCCTGGCCGCGCTCATGCAGAACGGCTTCCCTCCACCTGGGATACTGCAGGTTCAATGTTAACACACGTACATTGATTGAAGTATTTACAAAAATATGATTTCAAGTCTAGTTAAAGAGTTTGTTATCGATAGAAGTGTTTCGTCGGCAGGCCAACTTCACGCCCCGCACCGACCCCACGGCGGAGGATCGCTGGACTGCTGCCGAGGAGCCGCTCGCGTGGGCTCACTCTCGCGTAGCCGCCTACAACCCTGCTCAGAGGCTGTTCAAGTGCGCCGAATGTGAATGCGTAGGATTTCTGGCGCGCGTCGCCGAACACTGGCTGGGAACACACTCACAGGCGCGAGCCTTCCAATGTCCGCTGGCAGGCTGCGGGTTCGCCAGCGGCTGGGCCCGCGCCGTGAGGCAGCACCTGGCCAGGGACCACCACTCCGACCCCGCCGCCGCTGACCACCTGTTGAGAGAGAATCCTGCCTTAGATGACCTCACGCGCTACCTTCAGCGACTGAAAACTAAGGTTTCCTTTCTATTTTATACTATTTACTTATGAATAGTGATGATTAAATGAATTTCAATTATCGTTGGAAAACAAAACTATTTTTAATGACAAGGTGGACAGCGCGCGTAACGAAAGACGAGTCGGCAGCGGAGCCAGCGTCGCGGGCCCAGCCCCGGTGGTGATCACCGAGGCCGGAGCGCCCCAGAGCGAGCCCTCCTCGGACGGCTCCAAGCGGTACGCGTGCGCCGCCTGCCCGTACGCCACGGACCGCCGCGACCTGTTCACGCGGCACGAGAACATCCACCGGGACGAGAAACCTTTCCACTGCTACCTCTGCCAGAAACAATTCAATCGTGCGGATCACGTTAAAAAACATTTCCTGCGTATGCACAGAGATCAGCCGTACGATTTGAATAGAATAAGACGCACGAACGGAAAGGGCGTCGTCAGCGCCGGGTCGATGTATTGCGGCGGAGGAGGCGGCGGGGGAGGGGAGGGGGTGGTGGCCGCCGGCGCGGGGAAGGCGGTGGAGGCGAGCATGCCCGCGCTCACACAGGCGCCGCCCGAGTGTCGAGCTCCCACCGTGAAGATGGAGCGCCCTCCGCTCATCAAAGCCGACACCCCGTCCACGGCGACACACAAGACTACCACGGCTAGCCCCGTCCGAAGAAAGGTAATACTTGTATATATATAAATATGTATATGTATATATTTATTAATTTAAAAAGTCAGTGTCAGTTTTTAGGGAACATAATATTTACACCCTTCTTACTCTTTAAAATCACATTTTCTCAGCGAAAAGCTAATCTCTTTCTAAAGCTAAACAACTTTCGAAACTTAGTCAAGTTTATGTTCCTCCCGTAGTGTTTGACAGAACAACTTTGATCAATAATAATATTGTTACCAACTTAGGTCTTATAATTGATGATAAATTTTCTTGGAGAGCGCACGTGTCAAATCCAAGTCGGAAAATGTTTGCAGCTATTGGCTCATTGAGAAGGTGGAAGAAATTGTTGCCAATCAAAACTAAAATTTCTCTTTCGAATGCACTCCTTCTTCCCATTCTAGATTACCCAGATGTATGCTACTTAGGTCTATCCGAGGAGCTACTTGATAAGCTGGAAAGGTTGCAAAACATGTGCATACGATTTAGTTTTGGACTAAAAAATTTTTACCACATTTCTGAATATCGTGCACGACTTGGATGGCTTACAGTCAGACAAAGACGTAACTTGCACGCCCTTTCTCTTCTTTACTCTATTCTTTTCTTTCCCCAAACTCCAACTTACCTCAAAGAGCGCTTTTCGTTTCTTGGCTCTAATTCTTCTCTTCATCTTAATCTTCGTTCTCTATCGGACAATAAACTTCAGTTGCCCCTTAGCCAGTCACATTGTTTGAGTGATTCTTACACCGACAAATCGATAAAATTATGCAATGCACTCCCACATGACATTAGAATGTCACAGTCTTTAAATATATTTAAAAGTCGAGTCAAGCTTCACTACATGTCACTGTAACTACATATTTATGTATGTATGTATGTATGTATGTATGTATGTATACAGGGTGACTGGTGAATTACTATCAATATTTAAGGAGCATACTCGGTACATGATTCTCATTCGAATTATGTAAAAAAAATAGGTACTTAATTTTTGACCAAATTTCCGTATAAATAAATAAAGTGTGTACACGTTCCAAGTGTCCCAAGTGTGGACGCGTGCGACGGCGTGCTGATACAACACTACGCCGCCACACGCGTATGTGTGTGTGTGTGTGTATACCTAATCGGTAGGGTGTTCATACGATGCGTAATTAATTACATTACTTTTGGTTAACTTTACTTAGAAGTTTATTAATATTTATGTTACATTTATTTTTATTTTTTCATATATGATCGTCAAATATCACGTCCTCAAATATCGATAGTAATTCACCAGTCACCCTGTATATGCATGTATGTTTGTATGTATGTATAGTTATTTGTGTGTATGCATACACTGGTATGTATATGTAGTTTACGTTTTTTGTATGTGTATTATACGTTCTTATATATGTATATGTCATAATATGCACTACCCTCTCTAGAATATTTGTTATCCTCATCGGTTGGGTTGCCTGGAAGAAATCGCTTGTAGTGATAAGGCCGCCTTTGCCTTAAAGGGCAATGTCCATTTTTGGCCTAGCATGAACAAGCTGCTTTCAAAAAAACAAGTTTATAAAAAAATATATTTTTTTTAGCTAGCCATTCTATTGTTGTTTGAGTGTACATTTGTATTTTATTGAAAAAATATTTTTAAAGTATCTTCATTGATTTGCTTTATTGATCCACGTTTTGTGTTACCAGCAAGATCAATTAACGATTGCGTCAAATCGAATCATCTCGCAGTACTTAATACAATTTTAAGTATTTAATACAATAAGAAATTAATAATCTTTGTTTTTAATTAGTTTCGTCATTTAAAACGTTTTATAAACTGAAATATAAAGAATGTTAAACATAAGCATATCTGTTTTCGATCGATTTTTTAATGATTTTTTTCTATTGCAACACTAATAAAACAAAAAAAATACAAATTGACATTGATATGTCACAGACTGATTGTTTACATTCGCTTTGTTTACCTACATTGAGAGTGTTGATTATTTTCTTATTTTTATGGATTATTATGGATTTTCTTTCAACGATTGTTTATTCATTATGGACTCCTACCTATCTTTTTCCAATGACCCCTGCACATCTACGGACCCCGAATTTCGCTCAAACGATGACCCTGGCTTTTGTATTATGGACTCCGATCAAGGCATAAACGATGACCAACACTCACGTAATATGGACCTCGAAACTAGCTCCATCGCTAACCACGGCTTTAATATGGACATTGAACAAAACCAAAGCGTGTCTCATGATAGTCTGCACACAGAAGAAGTGACTTCTTACCAATCCGTATCTCTGAGATGCATAAACTGTGGAACTGACTTGATATAGCGAAGGCGACATAGTCTAGATCTTAATCAGGTTCAGTCTATTATAAGACAGTGGATAGCTCCTGACGAGCAAGTGTCAATTCAATGAATTATTTAAATTACTTGTTTTTTAATAGATATGTATTGTATATGCTATTCCTATAATGCAAATGAGGTTTTACTGTTTTATATAATTATAATCCTTATATACTGTTGTATTATAATAAATGAAAAGATGTTTACTCCTAACACATTAATTACATGTGAAACATACCAACTAAAACAAGCTTGTTTGTATTATAGGCAGCACATAAGAGGCGATGGTTCCTATACTATAGAAATATGTAGAAATATAGCCAGCGACCTATTGGTTGACTACCCGATTCCTTTGGCCAACTGCAGATTATTGCGTGGAAAAATACAAAGCAGGCATGTACCTAAGTAGAAAAATATATTTTGTATATATATTATATGAAAATAATCACAATGGTAAGGAAGCTATAACAGAATATTATTGTAATTGTATGGTTGGTCGAAGGACAGTGGGTTGCTGCGCTCATATAATGACTATTTTACGGTTTTTAAGTTGGGCAAGGTATCAGGAACACATTTCCAATTTCTTGAACACATTAATAACATATGATGTCTCAGAATAAAAATAAACCATAAGAAATGTTGTTTTATTTCGCTTTAACCTGCTTTTCCTCACATGACAAAAATTTCTTGTTAAACATTTTGATACAAAATTAAGTTCATATTCTCATTATTACTAGTTAGTGCTTGTAAACTAATTACAAAAAATATGATAAAATGTCTGTTCAAATCAGGCCAAAGTCCCCATACTGAGTGGACAATCTTCTTTACTGTTTTTGTTTGTAATGTTATTTCCTATGTGTTTGAGTGCAATAAAGTATATTTGTTCTTCTCTTTTCAGGGCGAACGTAGATATGCCTGTTGCTATTGTGCATGGTCGGGCGTAGACAACTGGTGCTTGAAACGGCACCTCAACACGCACCTTAAACCGTTCGCGTGCGCTCTGTGCGAATACAAGGCGGCCCGCGCCGAGCGCCTCGCCACACACGTCCACAAGGTCCACAACAAGAAGGCCTGCGCCAAGTGTCCCTTCCTCGCCGACGACCCACAGCAGCTCGCGCTACATCTACGAGACGCGCAGTAAGTATTCAACTCATCGATCACCTACTTAGACAACAAATTCAATAATAATAATAATATTTATTTGCTTTCAATGTAGGTACAGAATATAGGTGTATAAATGGATTTTAGTATAAGTTCCAGTACATTGTACCTTAAGGCTTGCAAATATTAGGCTTAAATTATAAATTGAAATTAACTATTAAATTAAAATTAGAAATTAAATTAACAATGCAATTATAATTATAAATTCATATTGTTTTACAGATGAAAATTAACAATGATAGATAGATACATGATTAAGTTATATATATTTTATACATTTTTTATTCATCAAATGCTTACAATATTACGTCTTGTCCATTAGATAATCATTTACGGAGTAATAACACTTGTTGACTAGTAAGGAAAACAAAAAGTTTTTTAAATTTTACATAAGTTAAGTCTTTTATTTCATTCGGTATTTTGTTGTATATAATAGGGGCCATGGTCAATATGTTCCTTCTCAATAAAGCAGTTTTGTAATTGCCTGTATATAAAAGATTAAATTATCAATATCAATAAATACGCTGATTACTGTTACAGTCACATCGAAAGTCGCAATTTGAAAGTTCCATCGAGCGTCGGACGGACGGGCTTCGTAGGAGGGTCGCAGGGAGCCATCGTCGGAGCTGGCGTCGTGCAGAGTTCTTCAGGAGCGGGCGGCGGGGCAGCGGCGGCGGGGGCGGGGGGAGCGACCGGCGCGGGGGGGAGTGGAGCCGGCGTCAGCGGCGTGGGGGGCGCGGGGGGGAACACGTCTGGAGCTGGCGGGGGCGGCGGGGGCGGGGCGGGGCGGCGGCGGGAGGCGCGGGCCGCGGGCGCCGCGAGGCTGTTCGGGTACCTGGAGGCGTCGGACGGCTCCGGGGACGAGTACGAGCCGCCGAGCGTGCTGGCCGGGGACTTCCCCGCCGCGCCGCACTACACGCGCGACAAGGAGAACGCCGCGCCGCAGACGCTGCACCACTCCATGCCGCACCACGACCACTGCCTGCGCTACTAGCCTTATCTCCATTCTTTATTACACGCCTTCCATTCCACGGACGGATGAGTTTCATTGCCGCGATGTTCCCGAGCGCGAGTTACAAGTCGTCAATGTCACTTTTAACATTGCCTCGTCGAGTAAACTCCTTTTTAACTACGCTGCTACAATTTTAAACCCAAACGTTAATCGATGTTATAACGACAGCCAAAAAATACAGATGTACCGACTACATTATAAATTGATGATTATTTTATAGAATGCCGAATAAACTAAACAGGTATATTGTAGTATTAAAGGTGTCCTATCCCATACATTATTATACTTCCACTAACACACTTAAAAAATGGCTTCTCGGAGAAAGGCTAATAAAAAAATGTGTAGATATGGAGGAAAAGAAAAAATTAAGTGATGGAAGTCAAAGACAGGGTGTATAGATGTGGGCCTAGGTTACACGATATGAAGGACTAAAACATTCAATAATATCTACTATAAAAGGAAACAGATTTCAGTATGTAGTCACCTATGTCGTTTTCTTAATTGTTTATTTCTTGTATAGTACTGTAAGTAATGTTAATCTGCGCACTGCGTGTAGCTGAGGTAGAAGTAATTGGACTTGTTACTAAATGATGTCTTATAGTAATAGTAATTCTAGTTGTATTAAACAGTTCTCGCATAGCGTCTTCTGTTTGATTATCATACTCTGTATCGCGTCTGTTAGTGTCTCATCTTCTTTCTGACTCTATTGTTCCTGAAGCTACTGTTATTTCGAACCTATTCCATATTATTATTGTTTCCTGGCAGTCAATTCTTAAATATATACGTGGGATCGATTTCTTATTTTAGTTGTCAAATGTTCTTTGTTCTATGTATATCTAATGTAACCGAGTGTTTCCACTGAGAAAACCCTGGTGTTCCTTGATATCGTCACACTTAAGTTTTTTTGTGTAAATAATATGTTAAAGAGTAGATATAATTTAAATAATTATGGTAAAATAATTTCATAATAAAGACCTCCGTTGTCAATCCTATTTAAGGTTTTTGAGACATCTTTGAAGATCGTTTAGTGAAAAATGTAACGCTATATAAAATTGATTCTCAAGATTGAAATTTAAATAAATAAACATTCAGAAGTATCTAGTTCCATTATTATCATTATAAAGAAACCGGGAGCACGGCGTGTGTGAGACGCCTCACATGAAAATGATAAACATTTGGAACAACAGCTGCTGCAGGACATAATATATTAGACAGACGACCATGAAGCTTCACTGACAGACTCCACACGGGAGGAGCTGTGAGCAATACGATCGTTTATAAAAAAGATTTTTCGTTTATAAAAAGAGACGGAAGATCGGTCCACTCACTCGAACGCTATGACTGCCTCCGTTCGTGAGGATTCCGCGTGACAAGTTTCACGGAATGACTGGCAGCGCTCGAGATGAGACAGGAGATCGGTCCGTCTCTCTCTCGTTATACCTGCGATCGCGCTCGTGAGGTTTTGGTGTGACACAAGTTTCTGAACATGTCACCCGAATAAAACGATTTTAAAGACGTTATCACGTCAAAATTTTTTTTTTTTAAAGAGATAAAAATAAAAAACCAAAAACTTGGTTTTTCGAATTTATCACATAAATTTTCAGTTTCTGTGAAAAAAATGTTAGTACAAAAGTTTTAGATCTTTTTATTACCTACAACTTTGCCATATAACATTTTTCCGTAAGACTTTTAGTTTTGCCGGAAATCGAGAAAACCCATTTTTCACCCTTAAATACCCATCCCCATACCCTTCCCGACCTCAGATCGCCCGTAAATTATTTTTCCCTTAATTTTTATAATAATCCCCTTCTTTTCTAATGGGTTTATTCTACTATAATTTATTTTCACTTTTCATCATATTTAGAGGCATCTGTACTGGCCTACTTATCTTAATATTTTATACAAATAGTCGTAGAAGTTTTTGAATTTTTCTTTACTTTGGTTTCATTTTTAGTTTCTCCTTGTTTAAAAAGCGAGCTTGTTAGATCTATACGTCACTTAAAAACGACAAATAAAATAATTGAAAAAATCACGATCTCGAAAAAGAAACTAAAAAATGTTATTTCTCATAACGTATTTTATCATTAAACGAGCCAGTCAGACCTCACGCTCGTCATGTCGACTCAGCTTGACGGAGTCTGTTGTCAAATTTCATATTCTTTTAATAGATTTTAATTATTTTTATTCATTACCGATGTTTCTTCAATACAAGTTAAGTTAACACCGACCCATCGAAAAGTTAGGAAAAGTTAATGACTACTTTTTTTACTGTAGGTTCGCAAGTTTTGAGTATCAGTCGTTAACGTAATATGTATTATATTTTCGTTAATAAGAGTTGTGTGTCAAGTAATAGCTACATCAACGTTAAGGACGACCCGTTGTCACTTTCATTCCGACCAACGTTTTACGAGAAGTCTCCAAGACCGGGGCTTTTTATTTTTTCTACAAAGGGGCCGTTCAAGTATTACGTAAGCAGATTTATAGTTAGTTGTCAAATCTAATGTCAAAAAAAGCTTTTGTATGGGAAATCGTGATATTTGACGATCATATATGACAAAATAAAAATTAATATAACATAAATATTAATAAGCTTCTAAGTAAAGTTAACCAAAAGTTATGTAATTAATTACGCATCGTGTGAACACCCTACAGATTAGGTATACACACACACACACAGGCGTGCGGCGGCGTGGTGTTGTATCAGCACGCCGCCGCACGCGTCCACACTTGGAACGTGTCAACACTTTATTTATTTATACGGAAATTTTGTCAAAAATTAAGTGCCTATTTTTTTTACATAATTCGAATGAGAATCGTGTACCGAGTATTCTCCTTAAATATTGATAGTAATTCACCAGTCACCTGTATAATATAGAAAATAATTTATTTATGTAAGATGGAGACTGGAGAAATCTATCTCATATTGTTCATTACCTTCAAAGCTACCACTGACCATCTTGATAATCTAAGGGTTATCAATGCATTTTTATTTCTCAATGTCTTTTGTTCTGTCAATTTAAAATAACATTTTTTACATTGTTTTACGTCTGCGAACCATCATGAGTATTAAAATGGCATTCTCGACTAACATTGAGTACACGGAAACTATCGGTGTTATATAAAAACTACTATATTATGACAGGGACTTTCGATTATATTTAGGTTTGGAAACATTTAAAATGTAAATGTCAATACCAAACTTTTTATTTTACAAGCCGTCTTAGCCACTCATAAAATTGTATCAAACTCCGTGCCCAATAATACAACAGACCGCACATATAAGGCTCCAAGTTTTGCAGTTAAAACTGCTTCGCAGCTCGGTTTTCTCCTTTTCTCTTCCCCTATATTTACAATAAAACTAATAAGATTTGCGACCTCAGAAACCTGTCATACAGAGAAGTAAAAATAAAAACCACAAATTTATTAATAAATTGGTCTTACGATGACTCCGAACACTTTTTAAAAAATTTAGTGAAATAAAATAATAAAAATATAGCAATGGTAAGACTGCTTTCGTTTTTTGGATAAATTAAGAGACCCATGCCAACTTGGACGCGCACACACACACACAAACTCTCTCATTTTATTTATTCAATTTCCTTATATAATTAATTTTTAAAACGTTGTAATATCATAAAGATTTCATTTTTCTAAATGTTAACAACTTTTAGTGCTGTACCACTCTCTATGTCATTGTAATTTACTATTTTTTTAAGAGTAGTAAAATTTACTGAATCGTGTCTGCTTGAAATGAATCGATGTCCACGATACAGGCCTAGCCTAGTGTGGACGTCAACGTTTTATTGTAATTTGTAGGTATATTGCATTGTAAAGTTTTTACAAATGTATAATTGAAATAAATAAACTATGAAAGTAACCCGTCCACACCCTCTAGAAATACCTTAAGGAACAGACTTTGTAAACCTTTTGTTATTTAATAGTACATAGTCTCTGTAACGTTAATATGTTTCACTTGATACTTCCCGGTCGCGTCACGTGTCACCTCACACACTCCTCGCACGGACTCCAGGAGACACTCGCTGTCATAATGAACCTCAGACAGACAACTTGTTATAAAATATTATTTAAAGGAAAAACTTACAACACTGACTTTCATGAATGACTAATGAGTAGGGGGTTCTACGGGAAAGTTAACCTTGATGTAATTTTTTAAAGTTTTTTTATATTACATATATCGATACAAAATACTTAAAATTGCACGATACTTTAAAAATATTAGTATATTAATATTTTTTAACTTTCTATTAAGTTGCAAACTTGATTAATGAATCTAATGCTGATTTGGATCTGAAAAGATGCAACGCTGTCAAACTGAGTGTTTAAAATGTATACCTTGATTCATACCCAAGCTACTGAACTGACTCTCATGATGAAACTAGCGTCCATTTCAAGAAATAAAAACTTATAAGTGACTCCTTGTACCAAGTAAATCGTACGTGTCCCACCCGTGACACACTTTATTTATTTTTTGTAAAATAAATATGTGTAAATAATAGAACATTATTTTCTATTCAAATGTGAAGTTTAGTTTATTGTCTCAAAGAAATATCGTAGTCTGCATTAAAAAGTTTTATCAACTAGCAGAGTTTTATTAAATATGATGCATGTGTAACAAGAATGTCACAACTTTGTCCCACCCGTGACAAACATTTAATGTCTTCTTTATTAAATTTTACATGGTGATAAATTTATTATATTCTATATAAACCAATTAGATATCATTGATACAATTAGCATAAATAAGCCACACACGCTGAAAATCGAGGTACAAGTGTTCCACCCGTGACGATAGAATCCCCCAGTACCATATGAAGACGAGGACACACGAGGGACCAGCTGACCGGCGCGGGCGTGTTGATGAACGGACTGTAGCGTGGGGTCGATACTGATAGGGAACTAACTCAATACTCCGTGTGCATAAATATTAATTATTGTGATATAACCTTATTATGCACAAAATATATAAATTATGTGTATTAAAACATTTCGTTAGGTATAAGTTATTGTTCAGCGATAAATTACATAAATAATTTTTACATAAACAAAATATAGGTAATGACCTAATTTTTAATATAATGAACCACCTGTAACTTATCTTTATATATAGAAATTTTAATTATTTTTACCAATAAGTTAATACGTTTTTAATATAATGTAATAAATGATTTATAAACTTCCTAATTTTTGCATGCTGTATCTGCCTTAAAAGATAATGCATGTAGAATTAAGCTACACTGTATTTCTTTTTACCCAATATTGTATTAATGTAATTATCACTGGTGGATCTTAAATAAATAAATATATGTCTATTAAGTAAGTAAGAGTAAAGGTCGTATGTGTGACACATCACACACTCTCAATGTATGTTATATTGTTTCATAAATGTATCAAAGGAAAGAACAGACCTCCAAGAAAATGAGAGAGTTTAAGATAAACATTAAACACACTAAAACTGTAGATATTATAACAAACAGTTCTATGACGCTGTTTGAGAAGCTAGGCGAGTGGAGACGGGGAACAGAGGTAGTAAGAGTACGCAGATAATACTGTTTATTGTAGAGCGGACGTCGTATACAAAAATAATAGTAATAATTATATTGTGCTCTAGATATAGGTACATGCTAAAATATTACAATACGATACAAAACATTCTCTACTCCGAACAACACGGAGCCGATCGTCGCGCGTACTGTGGGAGACACAGTTTATACAATCACATCGCAGCAGCCGGGTCATCGGTCGCGGCGGGCGGGGCGGCGGCGGGGGGCGCGCGGGGCGGCGGCGCGGGGTGCGGGGCGGCGGCGTGCGGGGGGTGCGGGACCGGCCGCCTCAGCAGCGCCGGCTTAGCGGCCAGCGCCGGCTTCAGTGACCCTCCGGTCAACGTGAGCTCCGCGAACTTGGCGGCCACTCGGAGCGTGTTCCTCGCGGGCACGGGACTCCCCCCCGCGCCGGGGTAGGCACCCTCCTCACTCTCCGTCACCCTCGCCTCGGCCGCACCCTCTGAACTAGTTTGTCTGAAATGCGAGGTCAGTGTAAGAGACGGACGAACATGTAATAAAATTTAAATTTTTTACTATAAAAACCATTTTCGATTTTAGTACTTATATCACAAATTGATTTATAAACTACATATTTATAATAAAATAAATAGAATAAAATTTGTTTATTACTGTAACTTATACCTATACAACAGATACAGCTAGGGAGCTCCTTTTAAGAAATGGAATTAACTTGTGTTAGGAGTCCCCGCTCTTCCACAAACGGAATCAAGTACATAAAGGTAAACACAATGAAAAGGTAACATTATTATACAAATTAAGAATCGTTCAAACAGGTAACATATAACTTCAATGTAGTTTTATTCACATAACGCGCATGTCTGTGTGTGTGCGTGTGTGTGTGTGTGTGCGCGCGTGTCACCTGTGTTGCGCGGCGGGCGTCCTCTTCCTCAGCGTGTCCCGGTTGTGCGCGAACGTGTCGGCGGCGAGCGCGGGGTCGCTCCTGGCGGGCAGGTCCAGCACCAGGTCGGGCGTGCTCTCCGCCAGGCGACTGGTGACCACAACGACACACATTGTAACACTACATACTAAAAGATCAGCAGAATATAAAGCTTTCTCATGACAAATTATTAAAACAAATAAAGTGACTTGGCGATTTTGATATGTCACTTCTGAATATTTTAATTTTCCTCACTTCAAATATTTCTGGATTTTCCATATTGATTACAGATTCCTCTATATTTCCCTTTATGTTGTATTAATCATTATTAACGAAAGGTCCAACGAGGTAGGAGAATAAATTAAATAAGTTATTAGTGTAAACTCTCAGCCAGAGGACTGGCAGACAAACTATAAATATCGAATGCCTGTTTAAATGAGACTATGATAATATCACCAAACACAAGGAGATATCTCGATTTGTATGACAATATTCTCGTATTGTTCGACATAGTACGTCCTCGAGTAGGTTCCTCCTTAACAAATTATTCTCTTAACTCATATATACTTATTCTTCTTCTTCTACCTGGCTATTTCCCAGCTATAGCCAGGGTCTGCCTTACATGTTGTGAATAGTTTTGTCTAATTGTTTTTACGATCGGCCGCCTGCCTGACACCAACCTTCTTTGGGAATCAGCATTAATCAGTGATGTCTAAATAATCTTAGAAAGTATACAGGGTGACTGGTGAATTACTATCAATATTTAAGGAGAATACTCGGTACACGATTCTCATTCGAATTATGTAAAAAAAATAGGCACTTAATTTTTGACAAAATTTCCGTATAAATAAATAAAGTGTTGACACGTTCCAAGTGTTCCAAGTGTGGACGCGTGCGGCGGCGTGCTGATACAACACATCGCCGCCAAACGCGTATGTGTGTGTGTGTGCGTATACCTAATCTGTAGGGTATTCACACGATGCGTAATTAATTACATAACTTTTGGTTAACTTTACTCAGAAGTTCATTAATATTTATGTTATATTAATTTTTATTTTGTCCTGTATGATCGTCAAATATCACGTCCTCAAATATCGGTAGTAATTCACCAGTCACCCTGTATATGGCTCTTATTCACTTTTGATAACATGTGAGGTATATTTGTTTAAAAACGGATGTACTATTAAGAAGATTTTTAAGACCATAATCTTATTTCATAGATCACAGTATCTATCGTACTATCTTTTATTTTATTATTAAGTATTAATTTTTTATTTGCGAAATGCCTTTAGTCGCCTTAAATCTTTTTTGTTTATATTTAAAATAAAATGATGTCTCAATCTTTTCAATATTTTTTACGACTGTCAACCCTTTGTATTTGTAGAGAATAATATATGTCAGTAAGAGGAATATTTCCTTTCCATGTGTCATGGTATCATTGTGGTAATAATATACATTTTACATATATCGAATACCTGCAGACTGCTGGAGCGGGAGGCGGCGCGTCACTCGTCACCTGCACACACACACAGAGAGGATCATGATACATGACAGGCTCCAGCGACACACACAAACAACGACATGTTACAAGTAACACACACACACACACACACCCTTCACCAGCGCTGTACTAATCATATACTACATTGTTTTGTATGACGGTGACGAGGCTCTTTTATTCATGTTATGTGAAACGGAATCTAAAATACGCTACGATTAAAGACGAAACCTCTAAACATCCAATGTATTCACCGTGCGGGGGCCGGATCCGTCGTTGTAGTGAGAGAAGCTACAACAGAACCTGGACCTTAAGACCCAGGTGTAGGTTTAAGGGGCCCCTATCTTTCATTACCTCATTTTATTTAGTTGCTATTAATATGCACATATTAATATAATACCAGAACAATAAAAAGCAATCGAATAATAAAAAGAATGAAAATTGAATGAAACGAAATGAATGAACATTTAACGATGTACCCGAGCACAGACTCTACCTGGTGCGGGGAGAGGATCTTGAATATTGTTTTTGACTTTTGCAAGATCTTGTTATATTTTGGAAATTCATCTACAAACCAAAACGTGAACAAAAACGACAAACGATTTCGATTAACATTAAAGGAACAAGTAGGAAGAAGGATGACGTTTAATGTTGTTAAATAATGTTAAATTAATGTTAACGTTGGCATCAAGTACACGTGAAGGATAACACGAGACCGGCGCCGACCACGACCCGACCACACTATGACGAACCAGCGCTTGAGATAACAAACACACACGACGAATAAACAGTTACTGAAAACTGGTCGAGAACACGATGACACGCAAGGATGGGAGCTAACGAGTCACGGTTGGAGTTAGTGTTACATTAGTTTAATACGCAGAGATGACGGATACGGTGCGGACCATACGCGGAGGACAATATGTTCCGGCCATTGTTAATGGAAGCAGCGGACCAAGTTCTATTGACCATTGTTGACCAAATACACTGTTCAGAGTCAACGCTGTAGTTGTTGTTTACAACATGGAAACTAGTATGGAAAATATTGGTAAAAAGAAAGATGACTATATGTACTGTAGTTACGTTCAATTAAAAAGAAAAGAAGGAAGTTGGGATCATTTAGTGTTATACAATGTGTGTCTAGAAAACACTTTTCATTGATAAATCCTCCAACGTTACTGTATTAACGTGGGTGAGTGTTAAGCCAATTAAGAAGTGTCCATGTCGTGATATTTTTTGTCACTGCTAACAGACACTTTGAACGGAATACATAGATATAATTTCCTCTTTAATGTTGAAGAAAAGTGAAAAAAAGAACTTGTCAATAAGTGGAGCTTAATATGTGAACTCACAGCAAAGATTTCATTAACAACCTGGGACTCGAATAAAACTATACTCTGATCACCAACCGACCTCTTGTAGACACACACAGAGGTCCGCTCACTCTCATGTGAGAAGATAAACTTAATGGAGATGTGTGGGAGCCGGCGCTTGGAACAAAACAGGGAAGTCGAGGACATTTGTACGGAGTGTCGTGAGGCGGGACCCGCGACGATATCCGTGGACCCCACACGAGTGAACAGAGATACACGTCCGTCATGTGGAACTGATCGCTGTGTCGAACTTTGTGTTAGTATTCCTTGTCGGGTGTTAAGGTTGTTAGAGGAACGTTTCTGCTCCACACGGCCCCCACCCCCCCCCACCCCCTCTAAGAACAGGTTTCTTATTATTTTCTACAATCCTGGCGGAGGTCTCTATCTGTGTTCGCTAAACGACCTCGAATCAATCACGGCTTTTATACTGGACAGTTAAATTTTCTTTTTTAAATGTCTGATATGCCAGTTCGTGTACTCCACGATCATATCACAACTGTATAAATGATGTCATTATAATGTTTATATACATGATCACAGGGGCCCACCATCCACCACCCACCACCCTCCACTGTACCCCTCCCTCGTGCTCGCAGCGGGTACATGTTCACCTCCCCCCGCGCCTCACCCCTCAGCCCGCCACAACCCAAACTCCTCAAGCTTCATGCGAACGTTAAATCAAACCAAAAAGCGATGCTCAACATTTTATTTAATACTTTTCATCAAACAAAATAAAGCCTCTGTAATTTTCACAATAATAGAAAAAAACATATATGTATATAGTTAGAAATGGCACAGTAGTATAGATAATATATTATATAATATTATATATGAATTACAACAAAAATAACTAAAAGCAACTATTACACACTAACAGAAATAATCATGCAGTGTGATGTCCGCGGAGCCGCGTCGCTACACACGGTCACCACGCCTCTACCACTACTGTACGTACTACAAGCACTCGTGGCGCGCGGGACTAGAAACAATATGTACGTGTGGCGTGTGTCTGTGTCTGTGTCACCTTACTTGTGCGTGTCTCTCCTCCTGTATGTTTGTGTGTCTTAAAGTTAACAGTGAGTACATCTTGTATAATCTTTCATGCTCTTTTATGTATTGTCAGTGTCATGGTGTGTCACGTGTGTTGTGCGTCTTTGTTTCCCCCCTCCTGTGTGTGTGTGTGTGTGTGTGTGAGCGGGGTCGGTCAGCTGCAGAGCGGAGGTACCTGCGGGCGTCGCTCGTCGCTGGCCGACCTGTGACAACGAGGACTCAGTGAGACAACTGATGTTAGTTATATAAGGAGCGTGACGTCACCGCGCACCGAGCCTACCTGTGTGAGGTGGGGCGGCTCCACGCGGCCGCCTCGCCCTCGCCGGGGCCGCCGTCTGTGGACAGACACACGGTAAGTGAGTATACGAGCCGCGTCCCGAGGGTCCTCAGTGTGAGTATGTTAAGCGCGTTACCGTCATCATCGTCGTCGTCGTCGTCTCCGTACAGCGATAGGTCCCGCCCGTCATCGTCGTCGTCAGGCCCGGCGGTCCCGGCGGGTCTCTCGTCCGCGGCGTCCTCGGGCCGCTCGTCCGTCCCGTCGGCCTCGTCTGCGGGGTCCACGGCGTCGGTCGGCTCGAGCCGGCGGTAGAGCGCGTGCGGGGCGACGTCCTGCGGGAACACCTCCTCGTGGTGGAGGATCGCTCTCTTGACGAGCTCGTTGACGAGGTTCTGCGCGGCGACCTGTGCGCCTCCCTCGCCCCAGGCGGCCAGCAGGGTCGGACCGAGACAGATGGCGAGATTCCAGGCGTCCATCATGTTGCGGTCGGAGTGGTCGGCGAGGTGCGCCAGGAAGGCGAACAGGTAGCGGAGAACGAGCAGCGAGGGCAGGGGCAGCGAGCCGAGCGTGTCCCGCAGGCGGCGCACGAAGGCGGCGTCGTCGGGCAGCGCGGCCACCCGCAGCAGGCGCTCCTGGAGCTGCGGCGGCAGCAGCGGCGGCCTCAGCTCGCGCAGGTACAGCTTGAGCAGCCCGCACACGGAGTTGATGTCGGAGGCGTCCCTCACGCCGGCCAGCGGGTCCTCGCCGCGCTCGAAGGCCGCCCGCAGAGCCTGCATTTCCACCTGCGACCCCGACACTCGGAACACGCCCTGGTGCTCCAGGCCGTAGGCGGCGATCACGCGCACGCACGACGTCAGCACGGCCGGCAGCCGCTCGTCCAGGGGAGCGGCGAAGTACCCGCGACGGCGCGCGGCCGAGCGGCGCGGGGGCGAGGGGGGCGAGCGGGGCGCGGGGGGAGGAGCCGCGCCGCCCAGCAGACGCTCGCGGGCCGCCGCCGCGCGCGCCTCCAGACGCGCCAGCCGCCCCGCACATGACACGTACGACCGGAATTTCTGGAGAAGGACAAAGTTGAAGAACATATCGATAGTAGTCACATAGTCAACGTCAAAGTACACGTATCTCGAGAGCTCCTGTTAAAAAGTTAGCAAAGCATAGTATTTTCTACGTTATTCATTGCAAAAGTTTTTAGTGTACCTAATAATACAGACTAATCTCAGTGTAATGTGATAATTGACCCGAGAAACAATAATGTTTTAACGTGTTTTTGAAGCTAAAATATATTTTTAACACAAATCAAGCGACCTTTGTAAAAATTGTAAAAAAATGTCAATTTTAAAAATGCAATTTGTAAATTTAAAAAATTGTAATTATTAACAATTATATTTCTTTTGTCTTTTTTGTAAATTCAAACAAAAATTGTTTATTATACCTATTATTTATTTTCTTCTTGTAAATTTAATTCGTGTAACTTCATTGAATATCACTTCTAATATTTTATTTTTGTCTTTTTTTCTTTAGTCCATGTAATTTAATTTTATTATGGTCTTGATATACCTACTGTTGTTATTGTTTAGTACTAATACATAGTTATCTCCTGTATTGTAATTTGTTAAATGTAATAAATTTCAATCCCGTCCTGTTGTGCATGTACCCTTAGGGTTATAATCTGTTCGATACTATTAATGTTTAAGAAATATTCTCTATGTGATTGTGACCTGTTGTGGTGGCCTTAATAAATAAATAAATAAAATAGTGAACATTACTGCGGTATTTGTTGTTGAGTGTTTTTATTATTTTCTTTGTTTGGGGTAGTTGTGTTCTTGGCTATGAGTAGAAACTGGAACTAGCTAACTTATTGTTCATCTGTCAAGCTACTGTCATCGCACTCGTGGCGCAGAGATCCCGAGTTAGTGTCGAACTATTATTACGAAGGGGATCCGGGGATCGATCCTAGCTTGTAACCAACAATACGAAACAACGTATTTCATCTTTTAGAATTTTATCTTTTAAAATTTTATTTTTTTAATTTTATTAACATCTTTCCGACCTAAACACGATTTGTTAGACTCACATCTAATGGCTGGAAATTGTGAAGTTTGTAAAAGATGTATCAGTGTGACGCATAAACGTATAAAATGTACCATCTGTCTGGAGCTACTAGCTACTGTTAACTGGAGCCACTGAACGTAAACGTCGTGACCGTAATAACACACCACCAGCTTCAAGTGATAAACGAACACTAATAAACACGGTGCGGTCTACGGCCTCCACCTACCTATGTACTAGTGAACTATTACCACCGTGTGTTAGTGATCAGGAAACCGCGACCCATATCTCGAATATTAATAACACTGATTTTATCCGCCACTTTGAAAACTGTTAGACGCAAAACTAAGTTCAATGAAGAATGAAATTATTGAAGATCTTAAATCAAACATCTTTAAAGAGCTGAAGAATGAAATTACGTTTCTGACGGCCGAAATATCACAACTATGTACAAGCCTCATATAATCTCATACAATTCGAGAACGAAAATCTTAAGAGTGATTTAAGTAAGCTGCAGCACCGTATTAAGGCCACTGAAACCGAGGTATCTGAAATACGCACACACTTCAGCAGACAGCAACAACAAGCAAGGTTGAATAACCTAGAGATTATTAGCGTTCCACAAAGCAATAAGGAATCCCCAACTGATTTAGTTATTAAAATAGACCAGTATGCGGGGGTTGACCTTAACCCAGGTGACATAGAATTTGCACACCGCGTTGAGCCTCAAAGAAACGTTCCGGAGAGGCCCAAACCTATTGTCGTCAAATTAAAGAATCGAATTTTAAAAGATCAAATATTATCAGATCTGAAACGTAAACAAGGCATTAAGACGTCTGATGTTGGTTTTGGAGGTCCAGAAAGAAAGCTTTTTGTAAATGAACACTTGACTCCCGAAAATAAGCAACTACTTAAAGCGATCAAAACTCAGGCGAGGGAGAAAGGCTACAAATTCGTTTGGGTCAGAAACTGCATTATTTATTCGAGAAAAAACGAGGAGACACTATTCTTCAAGAAAAAGATCTTAAAAAACTTAATTAATTATAACGTGAATTTATTCCTTCGCTAGATAGTTATAACGTAATTTTGTTCTTGTTTTGTATCATAAATACAAATCACACTACATACCTTACATATTTACACATACGGAAAAAGATATTTTCAAACAAAAGTATTTTGATAAATGTCAGTTAAACCTATTGAAATATTATACCAAAATGTACGTGGTTTAAGGACAAAAAGTAAAGAGATTTTACAAAATATACTTAAGCATAATTTCGACTTAATTCTTATAACGGAGTCATGGCTTACAGACGGTTTCTACGAAAACGAAATTAGTGACGACCGTTATGACATATTAAGGAGTGATCGAAACGAAACAACATCCTCAAAGAAATTAGGCGGAGAAATATCTGGCATTCAAAGAATACAAGCAATTTAATAATTACCACGAAGCGTGTATTAACTACAAAATTGATTCTCTTGAAGACAAACGAAAACAAAGTGATATGTTACTATTGCAAGCAATACTGACTGGAAGACTTGATTGTCCTTGTCTATTGTCAGCCTTATGACTACAAGCACCGATACATACATAATATAATACGATACATAACTCGTCACACGGCGTTGCTGCACGTGCGCAACATGAAGACAAACTACGCCAAAAATTTTATACGTATTCGTTTAGCAAATACATACAATAAATTTTATTTACATCTAGACCTGAACCATGTTACTAAAAACCAACATAAAAAAGAAATAATAAAAATACATCGTAACCCGTAATTTTATGTTAAAAAAACCCATTCACACACGCACACACACACACACTTTTGTATTTAACACCATTTGCTTTGCTTTTTTTTTCCTTTTCTTATTATCCTTAAGTGTATGCTCGAGTGTAACTGTAGAACTGTAAATTTGTGTAATCCTAAATTGGCCTTGTTTATAGCTATATTGTTTACTATTCTAAAATTACTGTAACGTTGTTGGATTACCAATAAACGAAAATAAAATAAATAAACCATTGATTCCCTTCAAGATGGAGGTGACATAATGTATACAAACCGCCAGGTAGTAGTCCTCCTGGTCCCGGCGCGGCGTGTCGTCCTCGGGGGCGGGCGGCGCGGCGGGCGCGGCTCCGGGCCCGAACAGAGCGTCGACCCGCCAAGCCTCCTCGGGCCCCTCCATCTGCCTCACCAGCTCAGCCTCCGCGGCGTCCAGTGTCTTGGCGGCCTCGCGACACTCGGCCCGGAGCGTGCGGGCGCCGGCCTCGAGCTGAGCCAGCCTGGCCCGCAGCTCCCTGTCTGCGGCGTCAGCGGCGTCCTCGTCATCGGCGGCGCCCCCCAGCAGCTCCCTCATGTTCCTGTCTTGGAGTCCGGGCGGGTCCCCGGCGTAGGGCAGGGGCCGCGGGGGAGCGAAGGCGGTCGGGTGTGCGGCCACGAACCTCTGGCGGTCGGCGAGCGCGTCCAGAGCGTCCGCGGCGGCGAGCAGCGCGCCCGCGGCCGACGCGGCGGAGGCGGCCCGCGCGCTCTCGGCCGCACCCGCCGTGCGAGTGGCCCGACCCACCACCGCCTCGAACCCGACCTCAGTACACTGCAAGGGATCGGTTCAGATGGTCAGTAGTCAGTGTGTGTGTGGAGGGAGCCGAGTCCGTCCTTGTATATAGTCACCAGCATGATGTCGGCGATGTCGTCGAGGTAGTATCTCTGCAGCGTGGCGTTGGCCGCCTCCAGACTCAACACGTAGTCGGCTCGAGCCCGCAGCGCCTTCGCTCTAGCCTCGCTGTGTCTCGTGCGTCTCTGAAACCGACGGATATCACGGATTAATTGAATATATATAATTGTTGTTGTAACGTGTAAGTAGTGAAACAAGAAACAATGTAATAGAAATAGATAAAAATAAGATAATGTAACAGAAATAAGAAATAATATAATAGAATAGATAGAAGAAATAATGTAATAATATTAACAATGTTGCTTATAATAAAATTACATACATACATATATACAGGGTGACTGGTGAATTACTATCGATACTTGAGGACGTGATATTTGACGATCATATATGACAAAATAAAAATTAATATGACAGAAATATTAATAAACTTCTAAGTAAAGTTAACCAAAAGTTATGTAATTAATTACGCATCGTGTGCACACCCTACAGATTAGGTATACACTCACACACACATACGCGTGCGGCGGCGTAGTGTTGTATCAGCACGCCGCCCCACACGTCCACACTTGGAACGTGTCAACACTATATTTATTTATACGGAAATTTTGTCAATAATTAAGTGCCTATTTTTTTTACGTAATTCGAATGAGAATCATATACCGAGTATTCTCCTTAAATATTGATAGTAATTCACCAGTCACCCTGTATATATTTACAATATATGTGGTTGAAACAGTGATTATAGTGCTATATTTATGCTAGATGTCTTTTTTTTAATCTGTGTAATGAAACGTTGTGTGTAATGTTAACATTCTTACCTGTTGTAGTTATACTACCATTATAATACGACTCAAAATATACACCACCAATTACGAAGAGCCTGTATCGCTATTATATACCTTCCTAACTCTGCCAATTGATTAAAAAACACTCCAAATGTTACAAACCCGCGATTTCTTTACGTCAGTTTTAAAATATAGGGTTGTTAGTTTTGTAGTAATATTATAGTGGTAAAGATTTTTAAACTTTTATTTTAAGCTAACTTTCATATAAATTATTATGGATTGACCAGCTAAATATAATTTTTGGATTCTATATGTATTAAATTAATTTTTTTGTGTTTAAACAGGAAATTGTGTTGTAATGAATTTAGTTGTAATTATAATAATAATTTATTTTTTTTATTAAGAGTGTATCAACCCTAATTATGATGACTCATGGTTTATTTACTAAAATTTCTGATCGAATGTGTCTTGAGTATAGATAATAAGGCAGGTACACAAGTAGTTTAAGAATGAAAGGGACGAATGAGAGAAAGATAGTGTGCGGAAAGAAAGGCCATCGTGACTCATAGAACTGGAATGAAAGAGAAAATGCAAAAAAAGGTCCTTGACCATGTCAGGGGAAGTAGTATTAAAAAAAAGTGTAAGTAGTGTGGTGAGTCACCTTGTCCAGCTCCTTGTCCACGGCCTTGATCTTCTTGTGTCGCGGCGGCTCGGCGGCCAGCAGAGCGTCCCGCGCGGCGTGCGCGTGTCTCAGCTTGAGCGCGGCGGCGCGCCAGTCGGCGGCGGCGGCGGCGTGCGCCTTCCCCCCGGCGGCGGCCTCGGCCAGCGCGGCGCCGACCTCCTCGTGCCTCTCGGCCACCACGTCCCGACACTTCCGGTGCAGCCGCAGCACGTCGTCGGCGGCCCGCTGCAGCCGGGCGGCCAGGGGTCCGGCGTACAGCTCGGCCAGCGCGGCGTGGTCCCTGGACAGGGCGCGCGTGTTCTCGAGGGCCGCCTGCCAGCAGGCGTAGGCGCCGGTCAGCGGCCACTGGTCCCGCTTGTGCCTCTGGTCCTTGTGCCTCTGCGCGGCGGCGCGGGCCAGCTTGTCGAGCGCCCGCGCGTGCTCCTGCTCGAGGTCGGCCCGTCGCTTGCAGTAGTCGTGCAGCTCGGCCGCCACGCCCGCCGCCGCCTCCGCCCGCGCCTCCAACACGCGCGTCTGCTCCGCCAGCTGGAGACGTATATCTGTAATACGAGAACACACGCGACCTGGGGTTACTCACTCACTTTGATTCACCAATCGTTCTTTTGAAGAATTCTTAATTTTTTATGTTAAAGCGGGCAACCGGATATTAGTTTTGAATTTGATATCTATAACATTCTTAAGATTGTTTTCTGTGTTTTCTTTATTCTTCGCGTCAGTACAAGTATTTTTAAATATAAAAATTGAGTGGGTCGATAGAGAGCACCACATTGCCTTACATTAAATTGTTAGTGAATTTTTAGTGTATATTGATATCGACGTGTACAATCAAACCTTCCCTATCTGTGACGGCGATAGATCAGCCCTAAACATTGTGTTTGTCCGAAAAAAGAGCGAAATAGTGAGGGAAACGAATCAAAGACACCCTGACCGAAAACAAAAGCTCTGGAGACGAAGAAAACTAATAGAAAACACATATGTTAAAAGATGACTGAGAACTAACAGCCTATGGGAGGCGAAGTAATCATTTATTAAGCGATAATTTTAAAAAAGAATAAGTAGGTAAAATGAAAACAACCGCTTAAGAGATACCAAAAGGGAGATCCAAAAATATATATAACAATAATATTTATAACAGTCACAACGACTTTCAAAACGCTGCGAGTTTTTAAAAACGCTTTCCAATTAGTTAACCGAGTACACGTTGTGCTTGTCCGTTGGCAGTTATGGTTGGCGGGATGCAAGCGGTGAAGGAGACGCTACATACTTGTGGTGTATGAATTAAGTATAACTAGTATGTAATAGCATATAACTAGAATACATTATAAATAGTGTAACAGAGAATTTATATTCATTAATAAAATGATCGTGTAATGAAAAACTTGTTATTATTAAACATCCCGGGCTCCCCGCCTTACACTTTAATTTTAATTAATTTTTTTCTTCATATTAATTCATGAAATTTAGATTTATGGTCTACATTAGAAATAAGAGACTATGCCTCGCTATACATGTTATAATAATTTGGTCCCTAAAACGACTGTGATTGGCAATGAAGAATTTTCCTATCGAAAGAGTGCCTGCTACTATAAATAGCTGGGGTCGACGTTTAAAGGACACTTTGGGCATTACTTCGGATAACCTTTATATATTTTCCATGGTTTTATATGAAGTCGTTAAACAAACACTGTCTTCTAGTAAGTAATATGTACTTCGTACACTACAAGTGTGGTGCTTTTCTTCTGTAATAATATTTCCAGCGTGTCGTAGCGTCCCCCTCCTCGTCATAATGTACGAGGGTGCACCTGTTCCTATCGTCCGTTGTTCGCGCCCACAGTCAGTTACAGCGAGTGAACTCATGATTGATCATCACTTGATCTGTAATCTTTTATTATCAGTATGTAACGTGGCCACTACTCGTCGAACTTCCAACTCTCCGGTAACAGAGGCTGTGTGTTTGGTGAACGTGTCATTATTGTAATATATATAACACCGGACTACATTTCATGTCTTGTGGTTGTATTTCCTGTTACGTACAATATAATATTATCATAACTTAATCGACTCGAGTCCTCCGTGTGTTTGTTATTCCAAAAATTGAACCATTAAATTATAGAATGCTGTAAGCAGATACATAGGTACATACATACATACTTTAAGCTTAATACTTTTAAGCAGATGTTCATTACTAATATAGTGACCTGAACCGGTGTTACAATAACGATACACACTGTTTTAATGACCTACACACAGTAACGATGACATGAGGTTTTGAGGTTGAACAGTCAAGTGTGTATCATGATGATGGATTACTTTATTTAATTCATAAATACATGATTCGAGCGGAGAATACATCCCGGCTCCGTGCACGGCCCCTCGCGCACTTCGGTTATAGAACGAACCGACTTCGGTCGCTGAAACAAATAAACCGGAAACATCACGAGTAATAAAGGTCGGGCGAACAACCGCCGGCCGGCCGGGGACTGGCGGCTACATGGAGTGGCGAACATGAATTATTTACTGAGAGAACCAAAACAACACACAAACAACACACACGGGTCGGCCGAAGAGACGCGGGGAAACGTCGGTGGGATCGGTGGTAAAGCTCTGTGTGGTGACGACCAGGACTATCACACACACAGGCTGAACATATTAACCGTTCACTACACACAGTGTTTAACTCCTGATGTAAGTGTAACGTGGTGGTAACAGTACCAGGGTATCCATGAGCGAGGTCGGGCGGCCCCCAGTCGTGGCGGGGCTGCACTATACAGTGGAACATGAGGGCTCGCGGCCGCTGGACGACTGTTCCCTGGCGCCGCGCAGCCTCCTCCGACCCCCCCCCCGCACCCCGCCGCCCCCTACCGCGCCCCTCTCACACCCTCAACCCTGCGAGTGTCCTCTCGTGATCCTAAAGTACCGTGCCCCACACGTAACGAGCCCGAGTCGAACGTCACGATACTTTAACTTACAAGTCTGTATGTCGTGTCGGCCTCACTGAACACATTATTGTTCATTCATAACTACCGTCGAGGGTGAACATTTTTGATTGTTATTTGAGTCACCTTACTTTACTCGGCCCGGCCCGCCCGCGTGTATCACTACCATCTGTTCATCTCACAACACCTACGGAGGTCGTCCGGTGAATTAAGGAAAAACGAGACACCGGTCCCAGAACACGTCCTCATCTTACTGATTAACAGTCCAAAGTCATAGGACGCCTCGACGTTGATCACAGTCCTCAGCGAGAATAATCTCCAAAATAATAATAAGACCGTATATTGTAATATCGGTTATGGAGCCGATGCAGCGGCTCGGGACGGGAACGGCGGGAGGGGGAGATGCAATCGACTGTTCGACCGAGCGCCGGGGGCAGGGGGGAGGGGGGAGGGGGGAGGGGGGCCTGCATCCGAGCGACGCAGCCGGTTTGGGGTGACGTCTGTCGCTCTCATTAGGATATTATTTTTTCTTAGAGCTTTCACAGAGTAGTGTCGACTATTATAATACATATGTATATAACAGACTAGAAACAAACATCGACTTCACAGATCACATTTAAAGTTTATCAATGTTTAAAATCGATGACCAATGTATGTTAACGTTCGTCGCCCGAGTCCTTATTTTTATTTTATAACTACATCAAAAATAATGCGTCCCGTCTCCTCTCGCCCACCGTCGACTCACACACACACACACACTTAAACATTATTAATGTGAACGACAAGTATAAGGAAAATTATATTGATATTATTGAACCTTATCACGTTAAATGTAAATTAAAGTGAGCCCAGATCCATCGTCGTCATATTTTCCTCGCCTCCACCTCCACACAGCGCCGGGTGTGTGTCCGTCGTCCTCGCTGGTCACTCTTCGATGTGTTTCCTTTGAACCAACTCTCTATCGTAGTGAGTGATGTGGCCTCTTGGACGTGTATCAGGTACATGAATCTTCATCCACGAGACCATCTCGATGAGGATGAGGGATGTTTATTATTATTTACATTAATATAACAACCGTCACAGTCGGCCCCGTGTCTCCAGTATATTCCATCCACTCGTGTTAGTTCTTGTTCAACATCTCCCACAGCCCACTCCGTGTTATCCGCTCACAGTTCCTTGACCGGAGATGCTCCAACAACACTTCAGATTCCAAACCCTTAACTCTCCTCAGTGTGAGAGTAGCCGTGTGAGCGTGTGAGTGTGGGCAGCTTTATTATTAACATAACACGTCGATACATGTCAGGAAACAGGTCATCTCATAGCTTCACTTATAAATTTGCCCTCTCAAAATATTGGTTAGAAAATTAAATGTGATTGTTGATGTAACATGTGTCGTATCTATCTGTCTGTACCGTGATCATAATAGACATCAGTGAGGTGTACCGTCAACCGTGTAGGTCGAGCGCGAGGAAACGTATTCCAACGATCTGTTATAAATAACGAGGATGATTCAACACACAGAGCGGGGACGAACCAAATGTATTAACATTACGATACGCGGCCGGGATTACAATATAAGAGTTCAGATCAGCGAGGACGAGACGGAACATCTCCTTGAATATTAACACTCACCAACGGACGAAGCCTTCCCAATCCATAATGTTGAATATCTATTTTGGGATCCAGTCGGTGTTAACGTAGACTTGGAAATATACTTGGATTTCAATCCACGTCATGGACGGAACAGATATAGAAGAGAACACAACCAAGAGGCGGCTCCTCATGACCGTCGACCATCAACATAAATACATTAACTATACGAGCATATGTATTTATTGATTGACAACGGACTCCTGGACCTTATGATAACAGGATACTGCTGGAGAAGCTCCATATTATTAGTGTCATAATACAAAGTTAATGGTCATTACAGTATTATTACACACAAGTCAGTGTAAAGACTAGTCCTCGACCCACTGTACTACCGAAGAGACTGCTGCGAGATGCGGTCGGTACTGACAGACGTACATACATAATACAAACAGTATCAAACTAAGGACATATGAAACTAGACTGTACTTAAAGGTTTAAAAGTTTGATGATTTTAACAAAATAATTGTCTTTATTAAAAACTATTACAATTGTTAAAAATCAACCGATAATTTTGTGTTTCTCAAAACCGACAAAGTGTTTTCAAAATAACTTTTACTACTACTACGAAGAATTCCATTCCCAGTACGAAGAACCTTATTCAGTATCAAATGATAAACTTTGTTGATCTGATGGGGAGTCACCGAGTCACTTTCCTGGCTCCATAGTTTTTGGCCACTTTCTATTCCAAAGCATTTCCAACAGTCGTTCAATATCAGCCAATATGTCCGTGTGTCTGTGTGTGTGTGTGTGTGTGTGTGTGTCTGTGTGTGTGTGTGTCATATAACAGACGGTGGATTTTCCTTCATATATGAACATTAACACGGGTCCTTCTTATATCGTTAGTAGGCCAGTGCAGATGCCTCTAAAAAAATGAAAAGTGAAAACAAATTATAGTAGAATGAAACCCTTTAGAAAAGGAGGGGAATATTATAAAAATTAAAGGAAAAATAATTTAGGGAGATCTGAGGTTGGGAAGTGTACGGGCGTGAGTATTTAAGGGTAAAAAATGGGTTTTCTCGAATTCCGGAAAAACTAAGAGTCCTAATGAAAAATGTTATATGGCAAAGTTGTAGGTAATAAAAAGATCTAAAACTTTTGTATTTACACTTTTTTCACATAACCTCAAAAATTATGTGAAAAACTCAAAAAAAAAAAGTTTTTGGTTTTTTATTTTTATCTCTTCCAAAAAACAAGTTTTTGTCATGAAATTTGGCGAAAACTTTCCTTTTGATGTTACAAATGCACTGTAATTTATTTGATTAGATATATTTACTTTTTCAGCTTATTTTGAATAAATAACGAAAATACAGCCTCATTTTCAATCGAAAAATCACCCGTTTAAATATCAGCTATTTTCAAAAATTTGGTATGTTTTTAATTTGATGAAATCTCTTTTTTCCGATGGTGAAGAAAAAAATATAAGTTTCTTACTTACAGTACCATTTTTGGATAAAATAATCATGTCCCTTTTAATGAAATGAAACTCGATAGCGTTTGGAAAATGCTCTTTCTAGTTTATTTTTTTAAAATAGAGATTTCAACAAATAGAAAACACCAAATTTTTGAAAATAGTTGATATTTTGACGGGTGATTTTTCGATTGAAAATGAGGCTGAATTTTCGTTATTTATTCAAAATAAGCTGAAAAAGTAAATATATCTAATCAAATAAATTACACTGCATTTGTAACATCAAAAGGAAAGTTTTCGCCAAATTTCATGACAAAAACTTATTTTTTGGAAGAGATAAAAATAAAAAACCAAAAACTTTTTTTTTTTGAGTTTTTCACATAACTTTTGAGGTTATGTGAAAAAAGTGTAAATACAAAAGTTTTAGATCTTTTTATTACCTACAACTTTGCCATATAACATTATTCATTAGGGCTGTTAGTTTTTCCGGAATTCGAGAGAACCCATTCTTTACCTTTAAATACCCGCGCCCGTACCCTTCCCGACCCCAGATCGCCCGTAAATTATTTTTCCCTTACTTTTTATAATATTCCCCTCCTTTTCTAATGGGTTTCATTCTACTATAATTTAATTAAGTTTTAAAAGCTATCGGCACTGGTCTATAGTTGTAACTTTCCAAGAACATTGTAATAAACTGTAAACATAAACCATCATAATATACATATTCTTTAAATACTCGTATCATCAAACGATTATAACGTTGATGGACGGAGTGCGGGGAGGGGGGAGGTGATGCACGATGGTGCGGGGAGCTCGTAATTTTAAAACCTATATATTTAGTTTTATTCTCCCATATATTCATATCGCCGTTCTGTCAGTATGTTGCGCATAGAGAAGTTAACTTAAGTTTATATTAGATGTATTGATAAATAAATGCTATTAGTTTTCGTTTCCATGTTGATGTTGTTTTCACCAGATGACACCACAATCCTTCGCCGCCGGGGTCTCCTCATTTCATTAGTATAATATAAATGAGTCAAATGTCATGATGAGCTCCAGATGTTTGTGTTTCTGTTGCCGTATATATCGTTCCACACAAGTACAACACACGCGTACATATTCGTCAGGTCTCGATGTTCCCAGTAGTAACACCGCTACATTATACACGTTAAGGACTCGTGGCTCGTGACAAATATACAATCTATGTTATTGAATACAAAGCATATCCTCAGCGTGTCCGGAGCCCGGACGTGTTCAGGGAAAATTTACTTCTAACGACTTTATATTCGACACTAGCTTTTGCCGCGACTCCGTCCGCGTGGAATAGTGACTTCCGGCAGATTTTTGGTTTTTCCCACATAGTTCGAATCGAACGGTCGAGTTCCCGTAGTATTTTCAGGATAAAACCTATGTTTTTTTTTATTGCCAATGAAGTAATCTTAACCAACAACATATGTATTTATTTGTTTATTTGAATAAGGATTAATATTATTATGTTGATACAACTTAAACAAATTATTTCGACCAAATTAGGTACCATAAAAACGGTTTTTGTGAGTTAATCTTAAAAGATAGACATATACTGTCGCGGACTGCTTTTTAAATCATTAAAAGAGCTATTATTCTTTAATACATATTTTTTGTGTATCTTGAACCGTTTTCACGGCGCACGCAACGGAAGGCTTCAAAGATGAAATAATTTCCCCCGTTTTTTACACATTTACCACTATATCATTGCTCTTATTGGTCGTAGCGTGATGTTATATAGCCCACAGCCTTCCTCGATAACTGGACAATCCAACACAAAAAGAATTATTCCATTCGAACCAGTAGTTTCGGAGATTAGCGCTTTCAAACAAACAAACAAACTCTTCAGCTTTATAATATTAGTATAGATTTGAAGTATTAATTATTATGTATCATTGGCGTTGCATAAAATGATACATCACGAACAACATAAGATAAAATTAGAAAGAGCTTTGCAAAACCTTTGTCGAATATAAAATTTAGGAAACATAGTATCCTCTCCCGTGACCGTGGCCGTGTGTCCGGTCCATATGATAATATAACAATATCGGTCTCAACGCCACGAGTCAGCGGACATTAGTTGTGTTAGTAATATTTTTCTTTCCCGTGTGTCCGTACAACACTAGTCCCGCCCCGCGACTCACCCGCTCTATTTTATTCCCCGGGAGGGGGCGACTACTTAATTGACAAATCGGCTTGAACGCCATGTCCCGGAAGTGGCAGGTTCCAATCCTGTTCGTGTAGGTATGGTTTTTTAATATATAATTATAAGAGTAGTTAAAAACATATATGTATATTTGAAAATTTAAAAAGGAATAACACAAACAAAACAATGATAATTAATATTAACGCATCATGCCGTCCTGTTGTTGATTACTGTGTGGGTCACGTGACCTCTCCTCTCCTCTCCGTCAGTCTGTATCCATTAATCTGTGTCCTCGTCTCGTACTGTCAGTCAGGTCGGTGACACACACTGTCAGTCAACACGAGTCGCTAGTGTATGTCGATACAAGTTCCTAGGACCGTAACTGCCGCATCTCGTTTCTCACACGTTCCAATCGCTATTGAATTGCAATAAATAAAAACATAAACTGCTCAGTTCAGTGTAATCCAAGGTAACAAAACATCCCATACTATTATTATCGCCGCCACCCGTTATGTTCTGTTCCCACGTATCGACCCTCGTCACCTGCCCCCCCCACCCCCCGTCCCGCCCGTCTCACACCCACCCCCTCCCTCTCTTCTCGTATCTTTCATAATATCGGGAGTTAGCCGTCTCACTGTTTTTTATAAGTGGAACATTAACAAGGAAAAGTTAAATAATAACGAGGAGGCTGTCAGAGATCTGTTAATATCCTGTGACATACAATCATTGTTTTATTGCTCGATGAGGTCACACACCCACCCACACACACACACGCGCGCGCGCTCCTCCCAGTCCCTGGGGACCCATCATCATGTCAGTGGACAGTACCGTGTGTGTAGCGTGTTTGGAGTCCAAACACCGTCAGCGTGTTCTGTCCCACTGTACCGCGCGTGTGTTGCCGGAGGTCGGCACACCTCACACGTCGGTCTATGTATCAGCATCTCATTGACTGCTGCCAGTAACCCGACACTCCTTCAGATCATTAGCTCGACCGCCGCCTGTAGTCTGTGTCACGTCCCTCCTCCCGACCACAGGTTACGACACCGTCAGTATACGTTACAGACTGCCAGTGTTAGTGTAGAGATCGACTCCCACGTCTCCACTGGACGTAGTCTCCTTCGGTGACTGCCACTAACACATGTAGTGTTTATAGAATATGTAATGACAACAAACATACTATAAGGACGGATAGTCGCTGTCCGTGTGGCTGTTGGCTGACATGTTTATCTACACTAATATTATAAAGCTGAAGAGTTTGTTTGTTTGAAAGCGCTAATCTCCGAAACTACTGGTTCGAATTGAATAATTCTTTTTGTATTGGATAGTCCAGTTATCGAGGAAGGCTGTGAGCTATATAACATCACGCTACGACCAAAAGGAGCAAAGATATAGTGGTAAATGTGTAAAAAACGGGAGAAATTATTTCATCTTTGAAGCCTTCCGTTGCGTCCGCCGTGAAAACGGTTTAAGATACACAAAAAATATGTATTAAAGAGTAATAGCTCTTTTAATTATCTAAAAACAGTCTGCGACAGTGTATGTCTATCTTTTAAGATTAACTCACAAAAACCGTTTTTATGGTACCTAATTTGGTTGAAATAATTTGTGTAAGTTTTATCAACATAATAATATTAATCTTTATTCAAATAAACAAATAAATATGTTGTTGGTTAGGAGTACTTCATTGTGAATAAAAAAAAACATAGGTTTTATCCTGAAAATTCTACGGGAACTCGACCATTCCGAAAACCCCGCAAGAACGGGAACTATGTGGCAAGAACCAAAAATCTGCCGGAAGTCACTATTCCACGCGGACGAAGTCGCGGCAAAAGCTAGTAGTTAATACATCCGTAAATGAAGGATACACTTTGTTTATTGTTTTATATAAATTCACCCTCGCATTGTTAAAGCCGCTACCGGGAGCGACTCGCCCGCCCTCAACAAACACACAACAAGAGTCTCGAGGATCAGTCGTCTGATATATGTATAAGTACATGTCATGTAATGAGCGCTCGCTCCATTACATAATTTGTTGATGAGCGCACGCGGAGGAAATGCTCTCCACGACGGAAATATTAAATTACAATCAGACGAACAAACAATAGAATATCGCCAAGACATTTATAATACAAACTAAACGAGACGCCACTGAGACCTGACTCGCATTCTTGATGAACATACGGACATACGTACACATACATTAAATAATTAGCTGACTCAGACTGAAATAAAGCAGAGTAGATATCAAGGAACAGACCGGCGGAGGGCGGCGGTAGTGAGTCGGCTCGTGTCATGTGAGGTCGATGCGGTTTAAAACGACTACTACATAGAGTCATTCAACTGTCTCTGCCAAAATAGAATTAAAATAGTTTGAGGAACTAACGAAAATAAATGACGCTATTGAAGAGAGGAAGCCGGCTTGTTAACTTCACCATACTAAAAATATACAATACGATTGATCCGCCGCGGCGCTGAGAACTGAGATAGAGGAATAAACACGGGAACTGAGAGGCGAGAAACATCTGGAGAAAACGCAGGCTGAATTACACTGACACGAACAAACATGCGGTTAAATAGAATTTAATATAATAATGTGAAAATATTCAACACATATTGTCTGTGGACAGACACATGTGTTGAGTGTGAGGACCAGAGGTGACCCAACACTCACACATACCATACATTATACTACATAATGAACACACTGCTACACTGAATCTTTTATCTGTCCCTCACTATTAATAATTCCAATTACTAGAAATCAAACTCATTGAAACAACATCTTGAGACAGATTAAAGTAAAGTCTGGATTATTCACTAACACAAGAGAGCAGGAGGAGGGCAGTGGGCAGACAGGGTACTAGAGGGTTGGGGGGACTTGTGTGTCCGGGGTACTTGGAGGACGGCATATACAACATGTACAAGACAAGCATCCAATGAATATGAAGACAATGACAACAGCAGCATGTTTATTGTGGGTTGTGAATTATCCGTCACAGTATTCAGAGCCAGCTATAAACAGACCAGCGCATGAACACTCAACAGACACTGAATTATTCACAAGTCGTGTTGGCAGGAAACAGAGCTCACTAAGTTATGCTACAATCACATTCATTTACTAGCTACATACTCGTATATCATAACTCACACTATGTGATAATATATTAGCCCTGTTTGAAATTTTATTAGAGATAATACACTTAACAATAATTGATCTTTTGTCTAATGTGGGGGGTGAATGCCACAGGTGATGCAACAGGTTGTTTAACAAATTTCTTTATATGTTATTTACATTCTGATGACAACCGTTACTTTATATCATTTTATTCCCAGTTATGTTAAACTTCACATAAGGTAAACACAACAACTTGTTGTATAAAAAAATACATAGCAGAACAACTTTACTGAGTACTTTGTTATTAATTAACAAATACCTAATACATGAATACTCCATGGAGGTAAATAACATTGTAGCTCTAAGAGGCAAATTATGTGTCATAAAAGAAATATATTTAAAAACAATCCTTTTAATGTTTATTGCCTTCTTAGTTCAAGCATAAATAAAGTTTTCAATTATAAAATTCACCATATTTAATATCTCTGAACACTCTTTTAACATATTTTATAAATAAGAATATCTTTTATTATATGATGTGAAGTAGACATAAGTTCTCTGTGATATTAGATGATTTTTGTATTTTTATAAGAGTTAGTTAATGAGTAGTCTCACTTATATATATAAAAAAAAACAGGCTAGGGTAAGCACAAAGCACGATAGTTCTATTGACAAAGCTTCTCGATGAAAAACTCGCTACTCGGGTCGGGGAGTTTTCAATTGTAATCGTGATCATTGAGTTTAATTTATGTAAGTCATAAGCTTTGTTAAAACTTAATAAAGAAAGTGGGAACGTTTGCTTAACCAATTTAACGAAAGCAGTGATTGCGAAACGACGATATACTCGTACTATAATCATTTAAACTCACTGCTAAAAGCTGCTAGCTTCCTCGTGGAGCCAAGCCTCTTCATGGGCGTCCGCGGCTCCAGGTCCCGATCGTCCAGCAGGGGCTGCGGGGGCTGCACGGAGCCCGCCGGCGCCGGCGCCTCCGGCATCGTCGGCGTGGTCCCGCCGGACGCAGACATTTCACAACTCATTTACACGGTATTGTCTTAACGAGCCTACTCTACCATCACCCCACGAATTATTATTAACTCTAAGTAGCTCTTCCTCACTCTCCCATAATTGACTAAATTAAAAGCACCGAAAGAGATTTAAAAAAAATAACAGAAGCATCTAACGACGAAATCCGTCCGGTGAAGCCAAAAATAACAACTCGAACATAGTACTTAAATCACTGCATTTGTTTCGACAAAACGTTCATTGAATTTAATTATAAATTCCCAAAGAAAGAATGTTAGTATATTGAAAAAAACCATATGAGCTATTTACAACTACAAATATTTACGACATAAACGAAACAAAAATAATACGAATCTCATTTGATAAAGCACACGACCACTCACTAGTCACTAGACAGTAGACTGTTGAACGTCCGTTAAAACTATCGTACAAGTTTCGACTCCCGAATCACAAGCGCCAAAGTCGCAAACCAACAACTTGTTTATATGGAAAAAGTACGCTCGTAGTGTAAAAGTATACTGCCAACAAAATGAGGACAATAATGTTATCATATAAAAAAAAATTGCTAGTCAAATTGTGAAAAATAATGTTTCTTTTTATAAATATTTATTTATGCATTATTACTAAATTAATTCGATTTTAATTGAAAGATTTTAAAGAAAATATATGAGGCAACACAGTCACAGTACACCCAACATTTCAAAGTAATTTGTGAATGTCTTTGTCATAAATTTAAAAGGATTTGATGTTAACTATTTTATGTTTTAAGATATAAAGTGGCTAGATTGAATTTTTTCCTCCAAAATATGGTCTTTATGGATTCTAGATTGTCAGAGGAATTATATTGCATTCAGCAAATAGCCATCTGGACTAAATTTCAATTTACAAGTATATAATTATGAAAATAAGTCTTCGGAATACAATTGTACTTTTATAATTAAAAAAATAATAATAATATAGTTACGTTATTTGTTCGCAGTATAATAATGTTTTGGGTGCTGTGAATGTTAAGTGAGACAGTCATAGATAATACACTATATTAGAAATAGATGCGCCACTGTGGGTTTCAGTTTAGAAAACTACTATGTACCGTGTACGCTAGATATCGCTGCATTTACTAGCTATTTCAATTTTATTATTAACTTTAATCTTTGGTTGATTAAAGTTAATAATAAAATTAAAATAAGAATAAATATTATGTGCATAGGTTCAAAAATCCAATTTCTGGTGTTTTTGCCTCTATTTACATTATTTACTTAGCACACTTTAAAAAATAAGTAAAATTAAAAGCAGAACATATTCAAATATTTATTTTTTTCTTTTTGTGAGTATTATAATATGTAATCGCTTGGACTTTAACATTATCCTCATTATTTGGACAATTTATAAACTTTCCCGTAAGCAGCCTGTTAACGTTGGTACACCAACTATGAATTATTAAATGTATGATATAATTTAATTAAACTCCTTTAAAGTTTTTATGAGTTTCGCAAGAAAGAAACCAAAAATATATAAATTAGCTTTTTGAATAATTTTTTCTTTTATATTTTTTGTTTGTGGTTCTTCACCTAATTGTATTTGTGTGACTGCACAAACATCATCAACCTCCGATGGATACTTACAGGATTTTTTAGTGTAATCTATATATATAAAAGAAAGTCGTGTTAGTTACTCCACTTATAACTCAAGAACGTCTGAGCCGATTTAGCTGAATATTGGCAAGGAGGCAGTTTAGAGCCAGGAAAATGCAATAGAATACTTTTTATCCCGTTCGACAGCATTCCCGTGGGACTTGACATGAAACGTCAGTCACTATAAAACGTAGAATAACGAAACACAATTGACAGCTATGCAATTGACATAATATGACAGATATGTAATGACGTAATTATAAAAATTAGATATTTGTAAGAGATGATGCATTATTTGACAGCTACTCATTGTTATCTGCTTAGTTAATTTCATGTGACAAACCGGTATTGTGTTTGTAGTTTGAACTCTTAAAACCATTTAGTATTTGCGGGATAAATTTAGAAAATCATTGTTTTTCACAAAGGCGTTATATTTTGGGTGTTCACGAGTTTGGAAACCATCCGCTTTATTTGTGTTAAAGTTAGACTAAAAAACAAAAAATGTGGTTTACAAAGGACCACTTCAATGAAACGGATAATAATTTGCGGACACGTATAACGCTTCGATTCGGTATCTACTTTGGATTCACTTTCATTTACTTAGAGAAGTTCAATTAAATAACACTTCATTTTTGTAATCGAAATGAATTCATTACTGTTGTGAAATGAAATAAAAATTTTCCTTTTCAAAGATAAAATAAAAAAAATCTTCATCTTTTAATCACCAAACGAAATGTTATATAAAAGCCTTCTGGTGGCGAAACGGAGTTCGCCGGGTTTACTAGTCTGTAAATAAAATATAGTTATCATTAGCAGGAGGTGTTGTGCTTAACAACTGCATATTTTTACGTGTTACAATTTTACGAGCTACTTACGCCATCTATGAAGTTATAAAGGAAATATCGGACTCCTTCGGTGGTTTTCGTTATAACATATCTGGCAGCATTGCTGGAATCTTTTGATAAAGCTGCTTCTGTTTTAACGTTCCAAAACAAAAAGAGAGCTGTTATAAGTTTTACGTCTGTGTCATCGCGGCTCTCAAACAGATCTACTGACTTCGACGTGTTTTTTATATTACAAAGCCCGTTTCCTTCCGGTGGTTTTTATCTGTTTGTTTAATATTGGTCAAATATTATATGAGCAACAGCTGTTTTCTAAAAAAATAAAATTTTTGGCCGAAAATTAGTTAAGTGCCTCAGATGGGCCAGTATACTCGTTGAGTGAACATTCTTGCGACCCCTATGCTTTAATTTTTTTACGTTGTTAAAATTTTATTATTGTATTAATATTAAATAAAATCGTAATTCAAATAAATTATATACCTAAGGAGAAAATAACAGGGAATCATAAACAAAATAATATTCGTTAACATTGGAATGCTTTAAAGCTACATTAAAATACAATGAGTTTTTTAAATATTCCCATTTAAGTGAATTACAAAATTGCCCGGCTAAGAAATGATTTGTAAATGAGTAATTAGCAGACAGGGCACTCAGGAGAGTTAAATCAGGAAAAAACTAAAATTTACTAATGGAAGGCTTCCAGACCCTTTGTGTATCATGGATATTATATTAGACCTAGCGTTATTACCCGTAACAAAAAATTACAAAATATTATAATAGGATAATTATTATAATTAAAGTAAAGATGTAATGAAAGTCTACTGTTTCACTCATTATTGCTCAACACCTTTTGTACAAAACAGAACTGACTGACTGGTTTTAAGATATTATATACCTATTTCAAAACTTTTCACAAAAATCTAATTTATTGTGCCTTAAACACTGTTTAGTATAGTTCAGAATCTGAAACCCGAAGTGAATATCGAATAAAAACTTCAAAGGAAACGTTTTGATTCAGGAGTAACATCATTAATTTGAATATTGTTATCACAATCAAATGCTTCTATACCGTCACCCACTCAAAACATTCTCTTGAAAACTAGAACTCTAAAATATAAATAAAAATCAATAGATAATACCGAGTTATTAGTCGTGGAGGATGTTCATATTCAAGATACATAAAACAAAAACTAAATTTTAAATGTCATCTGTCAGTCATCAACATGTCAGGCTGGTCTTCGTGTCTATAATCTCTTCTAATATATTTCTCGTGTTGTGAGGACCAACATCCGCCGAACTTAGATTTAATGACATCACCTCGACGTGTTACTGATGATGTGATCGATACGTCTGTTATTGTACAGGCACGGTTTTGCTTCGCGATGGAGACGAAATGAGCTAACACGGTTTGAGTGGTATCTTTTATTACATACAAGTGGTGCGTGTTCATGAGTACAGCCGCAGCGTGCTGTCAGCGCCGGCGGCCAGCAGCCAGGGCTGGTGCGGGTGCCAGCGCAGGTCGAGCACCCGGAGCGCGCCGGCCGCCTCGCCCGCCGGCAGCTGCTTCAGCGGCACCAGCAGCGGGTTGGTGAGCAGGTCGTTGTACACGGTGCCGTGACACACCACCAGGTAGGGGTCGTCCCCGCCGGACGCGAACAGCGGGTACCGCGGGTGGAAGGCCACGGCGCGCACCGCCCCGCCGTGCACCCTCAGCGTGCGGTAGGGCCGCGCCGACAGCTCCAGGTCGAACCACACCAGCTTGCGGTCGTAGGAGCCGAGCAGCAGGTGGTCGCCGCCCGGGTGCACGGCCAGCGAGCTGAGCCACTGCGCGCCCGGCCGCAGCTTGCGGGACAGCTCCTGCTTCACGAGGTCGTAGATGCGGACGGCGCGCTGCGTGGCCACCAGCAGCAGCGGCCGGCGAGGGTGGAACACGGCCGCCTGCACCAGCCCGCACGCGCGCCGGAACGGGAGCTGCGAGCGGCGCCGGGACAGCTGGTGCACCACCACCGAGCGGGACGCGCCCTCCGACAACGTGGCCGCCAGGTAGTCCCCGCGCGCGTGCCACGACAGCTGCGGACACACACACGTACAGGTAACACGCGGGGCGGGGAGGAAGGTACTGAAGTGTAATAAATATAGTGTGTATACTATATTATAGAATTAAGTCTAGTGTAAAGTCTCCCTTATAAAACATCCATCCAAATATGGTGGACCACCCATTGGCCCAAGCTTTCTTTATGCTATGTTAAATGTGACTTAAAGCTACAAAGACGTTTCTTTTCAAACCCAGTAATTAACCACATTAGATGGCGACCCTGCCAGTAGTTTCCGTTTTCTGCTCAGTTTTCATTATAATATAACAATATTATTTTAAAATTACAATAATTCAAGTATGTGCCAAACATCGCAATCGAAAGAAAATATAATTATTGCACAAAATGCTGCGAGTTCCAGTGGACACCAAGCTTCTATTGAACAACTCTAAACGAGCATCGGAACAACAAATATTCTCCTGGGAATGGTAGTGTTCGTTATATTTCTGGCCACCATCATCGGAGTTTACAAGACTTACAAGCGATGAAATAAAAGGTGGATCCGAGAACAAGTAAATTCGTTTACGTTACATCGAGCTGCGAGTGTGGACCGGCGCGGACGCGGACACAGTCAAAAATCTACAAATGAAGGTGAACAATAAATAAGGTGCGTAAGATACATTGTACAATTAAAGACGCGACGCGTGTCATCGAGGTTGTATATTGGTATAAAATGAACATTTTTTTTTTAAACAAACAAACCTTAATTATAATTTTAATATGTTAATGTAGTATAATAATATAATCCCTAGTTATATCAATTAATTTCATTAACTCAGTGCACAGATCATGTTGCGTGGCGACATTCTTAAGTGTACAATTATTATAAAATAATTGGTTGTGATATTTTGTAATAAATGTTTTCGTTTATAATTATTAGAATTTAGTATGACAGATCAGTTATGTACAACATATCATTCCTTAATTGAAATAAAAAAATACTTAATAAAGACAGGTAAAAAAAAGGTTTACTGGGAATATAATAGAAAATAAATTAAACGAGTGCGAAAAACTTGTGTTAAGTAGTAATTTAATTCTGAAAAATATTAGGTGTAGTGAAAAGTCGGATGTAGTGAATAAAGCTATTGAGATATATGAAAATATTAATATACTATATTTAGAAATTAAAAAATTGTGTATTAAGCCAGAAAATAATTCCACAAAAATGGATTTCGATTTAAAAACGGCTTGTAGTTTGTTACCAGTCATGGACGGTATCGAAGAGACCACAAAAAGATTAATTGATGGTAACGAAATGTATGCGGATATGCTTAAAGATTCGGATATCCCGTTATTAATTAAATTTATTTTAAAGAGTAGATTATCCGAAAATGCTAAATTGCGCATGGCGATAAATTGTACTTCTGTTAAAGATATTGTTAGTTATATGAAAGTTCATCTTTTAACGAAAAATCATTTACGGCTATTCAAGCTCGTCTTCAACAGACTACTCAGGGTTGGAGATCGGTAAATGAATATGGAACTGAAATAGAAAAGCTATTCACAGATTTGACAATATCTCAAGCAGACGGAGACTCTTCACATTATAGTATTCTAAAAACATTGAACTAAAACTTAGCAATTAAACAGTTTTCGGATGGTCTAAAAAATAATAAACTTAGTACCATAATAGCAGCTAGGAACTACAACTCTCTTAAAGATGCGATCCAAGCGGCGAAGGACGAGGAGATTTCCTTACCCTCTACCTCAACAAATGCTGATTTTATGCATCTGAGGAATACCTCAAACCGAGGTAAAAGAGGATTTCAAGGCAGGTACAAAAATAATAATTATTCTAATAATAGGTATTACAACCAGAGAGGATCCAGCCAACAACGCGATAATTATAATCATAAATATTTTCCACGCGGTAAGTACTTATACTAGAAATGTGCAGCGTTTTCGATATTAAAAATCAAGGAAAATTTAGTAGGGGTCTTAGTCGCGGTCACACTCGTATTGCGTTCCCGACAAATATGAATAATGATAGAGAAAATATAAATAAAGACAAAATAGAACAGGAAACAAATCAGTTTTTTCGGATTTAAAGATTACATTTTTACATTGAAAAATAAGCATAAGATAGTAATTTTTGAATTAAATAAATATTATTTTTTATTAGATACTGGTGCTTCTTGGTCAATTATAAAACGAGACATTACCGAAAAATACTACAATTTATAAAAGTAATATTGAAGTTAATGGAATAGGAGGTTGCGTAAAATCACATGGTCACGTATATTTAACACTTAAAACTAAACATGATGAATCATTTCATCATAAATTTTATATTTTTAGGAATTTATCTTTAAAAGAAGATGGCATTATTGGATTACATTTTTTATCTAATTTTGGTTGCGATATATTGTTGAATTCTAATACTTTGAGTCTTAACTCAAATGGAAAACAATGCCTAATGCCAATTTATGAAACACCGGATTATATTTCGGATTATTTATTAATCCCCACGCGAAGTGAGTCAATTCACTATGTAGCTGTAGTATCAGGTTTGAAAGGTGATGTAGTGGTTTGCGCGAAAGAGTTAGATAAATTACGAAAGGGAAGTAGACTTAGTAAAGAATATAAATGTTTCTCTTATTGTCCGATTAGACAAATGTTATACATTAACCTCAGCTTTAGGGCTCAATTCTCGCGAGTCGAATTTGTGACCATGTTGAGTGATTTTTGTAAACAGCTTAGTATCGAAGAGATATGTATAATAAGAGATAAAAGTAATGAAAATTTTATAAAAGATTTAAGAGATGAGATAAAGTCGACTGCAAATTGAACCGGACCATGCATTCATATATTAAAGAATGTAACAAGGATTGAGAGTGATGAAGAAAAATCATTCATATTAAATGATTTCCATCTACTACCCACAAGTGGCCATGCTGGTGTACGTACAATGATCAATACTATCAAGAGACGATTTTATTGGCCAAATCTCGAAACTGATGTAAGAGATTTCATTAGAAAATGTTCTAAATGCCAAAAATCTAAACATTGTAAATACATAAAAGAGCCTATGGTGATAACAACAACTGCGTCACATGCATTCGAAAAGATATATATGGATATAGTAGGCCCTCTTCCTAAAGATTATGAGGAAAATATGTATATATTAAGCATTCAGTGTGAGTTGAGTAAGTTTATAGATGCTTATCCACTTAAGAATAAGGATCCACTCATCCATTAGTGTCGCTAGCGCGTTAGTTGATAATTTTATTTTAAGATTCGGCATCCCTAAAATAATAGCAACTGACCGAGGAAGTGAGTTTAGATAATATGACATCAACAGCATACCATCATCAGTCAATAGGTTCGTTAGAGGATGCTCATCAAAATTTAGGCGCATTTTTACGAATCTATTGCGACAAAAACAAGCAATCTTGGTCTTATTGGTTACCATACTGGAGTTTTAGTTTTAATACTACTGTCCATACTGAAACAAAATACCAACCGGTTGAACTTGTATTTGGTAGACGATGTAATATCCCAAATCGATTATGTAATACAGTAGAACCTATGTATAATCCAGAAAGTTACGTTAGTGAACTTAAATATAGGTTGCAAGTTGCTTATAAAGATGCCCGAAATAATTTGTTACATAGCAAATATAATAGAAAAACTAAATATGATAAGTATGTTAATCCTGTTGTTTACAATAAACATGATTTAATTTTAGTAAAATCAGAAACAAGTGGAAAATTAGATGAATGTCCAATGGACCATTTACTGTATTAGAAGATATGGGATTTAATGTTAAAATAATTAAAGATAATAAAATAGACATAGTACATAAGAATAGAACAAAATTTTTTGTTAAGTAGTATACAAAAATGTGTAAGCCCATTTTTTTTCTTTCACCCCCGGAGGTGAAGTGTAATAAATATAGTGTGTATGCTATATTATAGAATTAAGTGTAGTGTAAAGTCTCCCTTATAAAACATCCATCCAAATATGGTGGACCACCCATTGGCCCAAGCTTTCTTTATGTCATATTAAAATGTTCTCATATTATTAACTGTGACTTTAAGTTACAAAGACGTTTCTTTTCAAAGCCAGTAATGAACCACATTAGAGTACACTCACGTGTGTCAGCGGCTTGAAGTGTTTGATGGAGATCCTGACGCCGAGCGCCCACTGGGTCGCGTCCACCTCCTCCCACTCCACACATGACGACGTGCGCTCGTCCACTGGGGGGAGAGAACGGGGGGGATGAGACACTCGTGAGGGGGGGGAGGCGTGTATAGAGGCGGGTGACTCACTGCGAGTGTCGTGTTGCGGCGGCGCCTCGGCCAGCAGGCGGTCGGTGGCGCGCGCGGCGCGGTGAGCCCCGGCGCCCGCCTGCACGTTGAGCAGCAGCGCGCGAGGCCCGGCCGCCGCCGACACCAGGCACAGAGAGGACGACGGGCTCCACGACACGCGCGTCACGGGCGCGCCTAGAGACACCGTGCGGACACAACGACCCGTGCTGCTCTCCCACACTGGAGGGACGGACGAGCGAGCGGGTCATTAACGATCAAATGCGAGGGTGTCGATGTGATGTGATAGCGAGTGTGAGAGTCACCTCTGAGCGTGCCGTCCTCGCTCCCCGACACCACGTACTGGCCCGAGGGGTCGAAGTCGCAGCTCCGCACCACGTCCGTGTGTCCTCGGAACTGGAGCACCTCGGCCGTGGGGAAGGGCTGCAGGTCCCGCGGGGAGGGCAGCTTGGGCACCAGGTCCTCCGCGTTGATGGTCAGCTGGAAACGTATCGAGGAGCGGAATTAAATCTTACATCGCATCTGATAATACTTCTTCCGAGATTTCCGTCGAGTGTGTAGTGTAATAAGTAATATATAAGTCAGATCAGTATAAATATTAATATCGTTGCGTTGATTATAATCAATAATTATTGGTTAAAAACAGGTGTTTATATTTAATATTAATAAAGAGAGCGTGAGTGTTTTGTAAAGTGATCCAATAAAATTTCAAAAATAAACTTTGAACTGTTAAAATGACTATTTATAAACTTTAAGGGATTTTTTTTAATAAGGGAGTTTTTTTTAACGAATTAGTGTAGAATCTAGTAAAATAAATTTAGGATACATTTATTATTAATATTATTTAATCGATTTAGTATGTATAATGTACACAGAGAGTTTCATATTGCAATGTATCAGGTCGTAGCCCCTACCATGGTAACTACTCGTAAGTGAGTTAATATATTTGGTATGTATTTCTTTTATTAATATGTTGTTAAAAAGGGAATGGAAGATGAGTTAGTTAAATATTTATATGAACTTAAATCGATAAGAAAATATTTAATGAAGAAGGGAAAAATAAGATATCAAGGTAACGTTATAAAAAATAAGTTAGCGGAAAGTGAGAAATTATTTGAGAAAAGTTCGAATATAATCTAATGTATTGCTTCTAAGGAAATAAAGCCTTAGTCTTACATTCATAGCTTCAATAAGCGATGAAATAAAGTCATACTACTCACAAATTATAAATTTATGTTCTAAGCCTAAATATCATATGAGTAGTAGTGACAGTGATTCTAGCGAAACGTGTTCGAATCCTGAACTAAAATGGAGTTCGATTTGAAACCAGCATGTCATTTAATTCCTGTTATGAATAATAATGATGCCAGCATTAAAGGTATCATTGAGTGTATATTCGGATGTGCTGTCACTCCGCGTGTCGCTCACCCTCATCTTGAGCGCGCGGGGCGCCAGGTACAGGTCCAGACAGCGCAGGAACCTCTCCCGTACGAACCGAGGGAACGCCTCCACGTCCCTCAGGCAGCTGTGTTTCTGCGGCAGGAAGGTGTACTTCCGCTTCCACGGCGTCTCCGCCAGCGCGTCCCACTCCTTCATCTGTGGACGGGCGCGTGTGTGAGTATGTGTGTGTCTCGTGTGTGTGTGTCTCGTGTGTATGTGAGTGTGTGTGTCTCGTGTGTATGTGTGAGTGTGTGTGTCTCGTGTGTATGTGTGTATGTTTAGTTCGTCCCACCTCCTTGTCATCCAGCAGGTACTCCGCGGGTGGGTTGTAACTCTCCGCGTGTCCCGGCAGCGCTCTCTTAGGAGCGGGCAACACGCGCGCTCCGCCCGTCGCGGGCGTGGCCGACGACGACCACAGGTCGTAGAAGGCTCGCTCCTGATACACACACAGACCGTGAGACTGACCGTCAGTCAACGTTCAGTGTTCGACACTCCCAGAGACTTCGCACACATTACCTTCTTCTTCCTCTTCTCCGCGGCCATCTCCTTCCTGGTCTTGGTCCAACCCATCTTGAGCGCGTGCACCAGCTTGGACACGGCGAGCTGCTCCGAGCGAGACGGCAGGAACGACCGCTTGTGGTCCGGGAAGGCGCGGAGAGGAGTCGCCAGCACCTCGCGACTGAACCATTCCACCCACGGCTGGGAGGACATCATCACATGTTATAAAGTTATTCACATCGATCACATATTATACTGGTAGGGCGCTGGTCGTCACCTCGTATTCGTCGTGCGTGTCGGAGGGCAGGCGCGAGGCCCGGAGTCTCTCCAGCAGCCGCAGGTCGCTGGGAGCGAGCACCACGTCCTGACCAGTCTGAGGGTCCTTCACCGTGCGCCAGAACTCAGGGTCCGAACACTTCCTGAGAACGAACCACGAAACCACACAAAAATGACTAAGTCCCAGATGTATGTCGAAAGTGCTTATAGAGTTAGTTATCATTGTAAATGATCAGTGTTTAAAATGAACCGTAACACCCACTTAAGGAACTCATCGATCTGGTCTCTCTGTGGAGGCTTGATGATTCTCTGTCCGTCGAGCGTGTATCCTATGTGAGGGTACTCGTTGTACCACCACATGGGGATGTCACCCACAGTGTTGGTTCGGTCCTCCTCGTCCGATGTGTCTCCGGACTCGTACTCATCTGATAAAAATAAATCACAGTCAGTGTTCACCAAACTTATCATAATATCTAAGCTCTTATCAGTTCATTCTTGTATTCTACTAGCACCTTTTTGTTGTACGGGTGCTGTCAGTCTGTCTTCTTGTATAGTAGCAGACATAACTTCAATGCTGTTTGTTTTATTGTTTCTCTTCTTCTCCTGTTTCATCTTAGTCACTTGTTTGTTTTTCTTCTTAATCACTTGTTTGTTTTTTTTCTTAGTCACTTGTTTATTTTGCTTCTTGTCATCTTTCTCCCCGGCCGTCTCCTCACCGCTGCTCGTGGTCGGCCTCAAGCCAGTCTCAGCTCCGCTGTCACTGCTCACATGTTCCTCATCCTGACTACTGTCACCTTCATCTTCATCAGTTTCTTCACCTTCTTCTGAGTCAGTCAGGTCCTTTAACATTGTTTAAACATATCCCATTATAAGACCAATATAAGTTGATAAGCTGTTGTCAATTTTAAGTTAGAAGAAAAGATGGAAGGAAAGTTAAATTTTCAGTACAATGATTTATTTTAGAATACAGAACTACTTACAGAAGATTCAGGTTCCGATGTTTCATTTTCGTGCTCATCATCACCTAATGTTGAATCATGTTCTTCAAATAAAACTTCCTGCAATATTGATGTTAAATATTAAGACTGAACATTTCATTGGATATTAGAAGAAAAAACATCTTTGTGGTGGTTTGTTTTAAGGGACACTTTCAGAAAATCTATAAATATAGTAAAAACATATCTCTTCTTTAAATAAATATTTCACTAATAATGAGACTTGTTAAATTTAAAGTCAGTCATAAATAAGTTGGTGGTGAGTAGTCAGTAGGTCCTCAAAGGATTTGTAACCTAACATTGATTAATAATCTTTTATATTAACTCTTAAAACTTCTTCTTCTTCTTCATGGCAGTTTCCCAGCTTTAGCCAGGGTCTGCCTTACATGTTGTGAACAGTTTTTGGCTAATTATTTTTACGAATGTCTGCCTGACTGACATCAACCCTCTGGGAAAATTACACTTAAAACTAATCTCAATGATTTCATTATTATGTATATTCAACAGTACAAATCACACATTATGAATGTTACATAAATATTTATTTAACTGTTATACAGGGACAGTTTATTTATTTAAATTATTTAGTTGAAGACTAAAAGACAAGTGCTAGTAAACAACAGTGACTTGCATCTCTTTCTCCGTCTGAGTGTCCGTCCTCTTCATGCTCCGAGTCTGCAGCATCATCTCCTTCGTCCAGGAAACCTTTCACTAACTCCTCGTCCTCATCTCCACTGGTAGTGTTCTGTAGCATGTGATCATTTAAAACAATCTTATCATTATTTTTAGTAGGTGATAGATATTCGACGTTATCAAACACCCTCAGCTTATTTTCACCTGTCTACTTTGATAGTCAAGTATGAAACAGCTATTAAAGCTGTTAGATATGTCAATGAAGTCTTCTATATGTATAGAAGGCTCCATTGTAATGTTCCAATTCTAGTATTTTTTCTGACATCCTCGGCAGGACAAGTAAACAAGTCGAATTACACTAGAGAGACACTAACTACTGTACCAAAGAAGCTCCAATGCTTACCTTGTCTTCTGCATCACTGTTCTTTGACTCTTGGGACACATTTTTTCTTTTCAACAACCCTGCTTTGAAAGGCGGCATTTTACCTATTATTTACTCTATCATAACTATATATTTTTTTGGTAATAAACGATATTTAATAATAATGTTTTTAGTCACAGCACGTGTTTTTCACGCCGATTTTTGAAGTAACAACCGTGAACACAGATGTATATATATTGTCAACTGTTACCAGTGACACTGACATACCTGATAACAGACACAATACCCATATTGAGATAAAATATAAAAAGAATCAGGGGATACTGAATAAAGTTGGTGAAACATTATGAAAAAGAAAACTATTTCAATATTTAATACAAATCTAGTAGGATAGTATTAGTTATGGAGAACTATATAAAATTAAGTTTAATTGAAGATTAAAAAAAAAACTTTAATTAATAAATTTAAAGCGTCTTTAAGTCTGTTTTTTGGCATATAATTTACTACATAATATTTATTACTTTTCAAGATTAAAATAATTTTAGAATATAATAAAATAAGAATAGATTCAGAGATATGATGTTGACAACTTGAGAATTGAATTTGAGGTTATGTTATATAAAATAAAATGAATGAATAGGAGGTTCACCGAAATGCTTTAAATTAAATATACGCGTTAATTACATAATAAATAAGTTTCAAAATGTTTAGGCACTTCATAAAAGCTTTGCTGCCTTTTAGGAACCAATTGGTAAGAATTTTACTTCAATTAAGATGGTATTGAATTATTATACATATCCCAAATTTTATATTTATTAAAATAATATTGATGGAAAGTTGTGTAAGTATTTATTAAATCATATTAAAACTAGGGCTTTCATTGAATTTGTTATATTTAAAAAAAAATTACAAAATGCAATAATCATTTAATTTCCAGAGCCGCACTGTCGGCGGTAATGGAAGCGCATTTCAACAAAATTGTCTGTCGAAGGAAGAGAAATTAACGGAAGCTCTTAAGAAGTCATTGCCCGGCATCACATACATCAGTGTTGAAGACATCTCTGGCGGCTGTGGAGCTATGTATGAAGTAAATATGTTCATACAAACTAATAATATGACTGTCATCAATATATGAAGTTTGAAAAAGTGTCTGTTGAAAATTACTACTTTGATTTAATTTCTATTACAGATAAGTGTTGAAGCTAAAGAATTTGTAGGATTATCGACTGTTAAACAACACAGACTGGTCACTGAATCTCTTAAGAGTGACATAGCAGAGATGCATGGTATCAGGATTCACACAACACCCACTAAGGGAGACAAGTAGACCAGCGTCGGGGAACTGCTGTTTAGAACAATAGAATAAAGTACAACACAGATCACTGTTACTGTGATCTACAATTTTTATTTTATAATGTTTTAAGTAGATATTAAAGATATTTTTTCTGTGATTCTTATAAAAAGTCCATGAAGCATTACATTTGTGTTTCTTCATTTGAATGTTCCAAAGTGAGTTTCTTAGTTTGTATGAAATGTTATTACATACTTGAATAAATGTATCAAGTAGTGTGACATTGGGATTTTTTAAACGGTTGTATTTAGCACACCCTTTTTGTTAAATGGTTTTTTTTATTATTTATTCTTTCTTGGGTCAAATTTAGTCATTCAAATTTCACCCTCTTCCTGTCAACCGCTTAATCTGAAATTTTGTATACACTTTGGATTTTGGTGACAATACAATTATGTTTTTCATTATTATTATAAATTCAAGATGGCCGCCGCTACAAAATCGCGAATAATTTATGTTTTATTAATCCCCTCAATATAGGTATCCAATGAAAGGGCTCAACAAGCAGAATACAATATATGTACTATAAAAAATTGAAATCCAAGATGGCGGCCCAAAAATGGCGGATAACATAGGTTTTATCAATCCCATCAATATGGGTATCAAATGAAAGTACTCAAAATATAGTAATGATTTGTTATATACAAAACATATAGACCTAGATATAATATGTATAACTGAGCACTTCATAATGTCTGGATATGAAAGCTTATTAAATATCACCAATTACAAATTAGGAGCTTGTTATAGTAGAAATAATAAAAAACGTGGCAGTGCTTGTATATTAACTAAAAATAAACACGAGTATAAAGAATTATCGGACATCATGGGGTGTTCCATATCAGGTATAATAGAATGTTGTGCAATAGAATTAATAAAGCATAAATTAATAGTTATTTGCCTGTACAGACCTCCAAAGATTGTGAATATTAATATTTTCTATGAAGCGTTAGATATTGTATTAAGAAAAGTATATTTAAAAAATAATTATAAAATTGTATTATGTGGAGATTTCAATATTGATACTCTCAAGTATGAAACCCTAAAACTCGCTTCATCGTTGTCGCTTGAACACCTGCCTAATTATAATTTATAGTGTAACATTACGAAACAAATATTTTAATCAACGATTGCAGACAATTGACGTGCTCCACGGTTTTATTTTAGTCTAGTCTATGCATATGTTTATAATTCCTACGACTGTATTTATTTTATTATTTTTTGGTTTTTAGTACATTTATCTTAAACATTGCAATGTATGTTTAACGTAAAACCGTTTAACTTAAAAAGTTTTTTTACCTATTTTTAGTTAGTTCAATGAAGGTATTATGTTGAAAGTTTTTCTTTCCAGTAAGTGTGAGACAGTTAACCACTTGTAAACCCAAAATATTAAAAGTTTGTCTAACATGTATTCATCATAAAAGATCAATATTGATATGTCATACTTCATTACTCTTATACAGTATAGATGGCTTGTATCTAACAACTTTAATATATTTTTACCTATTATTCCATTAGTAAATAGAATAGGTAAAAATTAGTATTTTTACCTATTATTCCTGTAATAAATAAATAAATAAATTAGTAGGGGAGACTGGGTAACAGTGAATCATTTTTTTTTAAAGAAGTGTTACGCCGTAGTTTATGTCAAAATGATACATCTTTGAAATTAAAAGATAATGCAAATATCTTATGTCTTAAATAAGAGACATTTCATTGCGTGTGTTATACATACTTAAAAGGTATAGGCACTTTAAAAAAAATTAGAAAGATCCACTGTGGCCCGGGAACGGGTCACTTTGGATCACTGCACGGGTGACAGTGAATCGGCCCAGGAACAAAGGATCAAGTGCAAAAAAATATTTAAAAATATCAATTTTCATATTATTATAATATTACTACTTGTACTAGGTTCTAGACAGTCTTTTGCGTCAAAATAAGGACATGACATTTTCTAAATTATCGAAGAACAAACCAACATTATAGCGATTGAAAGACGACCTAGCAACGGCTCTTATTTTTAGCCATCCGAAATAAGTTTTAGTGTCAGTGGTGGCCTAGTGGTCAAAAGGCCCGCCTCTCGTGCACGAGGTCGCGGGTTCGATCATGGCAAGTACCAATGTGACTTTTCCGAGTCATATGTACTTTCTAAGAGTATTAAGACATCACTTACAGACGGTGAAGGAAAACATCGTGAGGAAACCTGGACTTATAATTTAAGAAATATAAGTTTGAAATCCCCAATCCGTCTTGAGCAAGCGTGGTGAATGGTGGTTAATGCTCAAATCTTCTCCATGTGGGAAAGAGGCCTTTGCTCAGCTGTGGGCTCTGATAGGCTGATGACGATGACGAAATAAATTTTAGAGCGTTACAAGGCATTTTTACCTAAAACATAAAGTAAAATTAATCTTAGCTTGTTGAGTTACAATGGATGAACAGTTCACTGTGACCCAATACAGAATGATTCACTGTGACCCCATTGACCGTTATAGAAAAAGAATATAAACCAAAAAAAAACTATTTATCTTGAGGACAAATCAATATGTATTACAATGGATGTAAGGTATGACAAGTATACGTCATTGCAAAAAGATCGACATTATTTATTCAATTAGGAATTAAATAAATTTAAAAAACTAGATTAGGTACTTATGTAGGGTCCAGAGTGAGGCAGCGCATGCTCCCGTTTCGGGGGCCGCCGGCGACTAGTGCCTCGCGAACAGGTATAACCGAGCGGCAAATAAAGGTTTTTTTTGCGTGCGTGAGTGCAACATATACTATGTTAGTGTAGATTATCCACTGTGACCCTGTCTCCCCTATACTAGTTTGTTCCGTGAGCTTCTTGTGCTTCAAGCCATGATGACTATCTGTTTATGTTTATATTAACATAAAGTCTTATTGAAGCCCTGACAAAATGCTTTTCATTAGCAACAAAGTATCTTTTAAAATTTTTTTTACTTTTCAATATGGAGAGTCAGAAAATTATTTCATAATAGATTAGAGTAAAGAAAGTTATAATTTATAAAAGATAATGGGTTTGACTCTCATAATACCTCTTGGTAGCCAGTAGGTACAAAAAAGGCACAACCAAAAGTACCTCTGTAGGTATGAAGTCACCCAATTTGTATTATGCATCTTTCACGTGTTTTAGGACATCCGAAATTGGTTTAAGAAATTAAGGGAAAAGAAATTGTAAATTGAAACATGAAGACTGTCATAGCCTCCTAGCATTGTCGACTATGGTAAATATCAAGACTCGCTAAACATAAGCGATATAGTGTAAGTAACATATTGAGTGCCATCTGCCATACAGCACACGTAAACATTTAAAGATAATGAGATGTGCAGGTTGCAGGAGTGCGAATATATGAGTGTGTGTGCGTGCGCATGTGTGGGTCAGTGTCAGTCAGTCAGTCAGTTTAAGTAAGGTGCATCTGAGCAGCTAATATAGAATTTTTAAATATTTTTTATAATTTTATAAATGCACTCTCGGGGGATTTGCAAACACAAAGCCTAATCTAGCCTAGCAATTCATGTGTTCCCTCAACAATATTTTAGACATGTCTTTCAAATGTTAAAATGAGGTTTTAATAAAGTCCTGATGGGGGTTGGGACTTTATTAAGTCCTCATTTTTAATCTTAAATTTATAATAAGCAAGTTGTAAACACGATACCTAAACTCAGTTATGGTTTCTATTATAGGTAGGAAAAAATAAAACATTCAGTTATTTACACGATACAAACATGACAGATGATTCATACTAAAATGTCTCCGAAACACATATAGCTTGTCGTTTACATTTCGTAACTTGCTATATTATTTCTAAACGAAAATCTTCTATACATTTTATGTCATTTTTTGTCTTGACATCTATAAAGCCGATCTGTCATTCTTTCAAACAGTTCAACATGGCACTCAATTTGTCTGTAAAGATTCATCCTGTTGTTTTATTTCAAATTGTGGATGCTTACGAGCGTCGAAATGCTGACTCCCACCGCGTTATTGGCACTTTACTAGGTAACAGTCCATGTTGGGTTTAAAATATCCTTTCGGTTGGAAATAATTCCAATCCTAACATCGACGTCACAGTTCCAACCCATTATTGCATTTATTCTCATTTGTTACGTTTCTGTAATAGCAATTATAAAATTATGATGTCTTATAAAATATTTATTGTTATATGCTGTACTTGATGGTGTTCCATCGTTTTCTCTTGGTATCGACATGTTTAGGTTATACAGTAGAAACTCGATTAAGCGAACTAATCGTGGTCGATAGGCATTCGGATAATCGAAAATCCGGATAATCGAATGTATGAAGTAATGCGGGTTTTATATATGTATATGTAGTACATATATTATATGATTATTTAAAAAAAGTAACAAATGCATAGCAACAATAATCAATGTTTATTAATAAATAATTAAAGGATACATTTTCTTAGACTACACATACTTACTTGTATGTACTAAAAACTGCAGATTTAATTATGAAATAAATTACAATATGTATTTGGTAATTTGCAATTGGTAACCATGAATTAAAATAATAAGTTCAATTTCCTTTAAATATTTGGTAATTGTCATTTGACATATGTCACTCTCAACAATACCACCCTCTTACACTGTGACATTTTTTCTTGTCGGGACTTGTCCGTAGTCTGGAACATCACAAATCCGTATAACTGAGGGCTGGATAATTGAGTTTCTACTGTATTGTTATTTTTCTGTTTTACAGGCACATCTGACAAAGGCGTCGTAGAAGTCACAAATTGTTTCTGTGTGCCACACAAGGAACATGCGGACCAGGTGGAAGCTGAGCTCAATTATGCTATGGATGTTTATGAACTCAACAAAAGGGTCAATGCTTCAGAGAATGTTGTTGGTAAGTTACAATTTCATACTAATTTTGTAGTTATGATGCACTATTGAGAGATCACTCTAGTAGTCTATTAAATAACAATAATAATATAAGAACTTTTACTATATAAGTAGTGAAGGCCTTAGATTAATTCTAGGGCTGCTATTTCCTGAGAAATTATGTAAAGGTTATCATTTCAACCACATATTGTAGTATCTGACTCACAACCAACCTGTTAGTGTTTGAGTGACTGAGTTACACTGTCCCTGGTCTATATCAAATGGTGTTTGTTGAACTGCAGGATATGCTCTAGTTGGGATTAAATTATTTTTTTGCAAATTATACCAAAAATGCAATTATCGTATGTTTACTGCAAAATCTCCTTTGTATGAGAACTCTTTTTTTTATACTGCAGTCCATTTCTAAAACCCTTGAAATAATTAAGTCAATCAAGCAACTACAACTAAAAACCAACAACACTCCCACTTTGAAGATCATTCTGAGTATCAAGTTCTCTAATAATGTTGACTGGTCAACTTACTTCAGGGGCCCCTATGTTTGTTGAATCCTTATTTTAAAAAAATAATAATAATATTTATTTCAGGATGGTGGGCGACTGGCAATGAAGTAACAAACCACTCCTCCGTGATCCATGAGTACTATTCCCGTGAATGTCGGGAGCCGGTTCACGTGACGCTGGACACGTCACTGGCCGGCGCCCGCATGGGGCTCCGCGCGTACGTGTGTGTGGCGCTCGGCGTGCCCCGCGGCAAGCAGGGCTGCATGTTCACACCTATCGATGTAGGACTCACCTACTACGAGCCAGAGGTGAGGATATTGATAGCTGATAAACCCTTGTTACAATTATTATGTACATATTTTATTGTTCTTGAAATTCATGTAATGTTATGTGTGAACACAACACAGTGTAAGAATAAGGTTAATGAGCATTACAGACTGACTTCACATGCTAGTTCTGTTAGTTAAGAGCTGACTTACATCATTACTGGAAGCTACATACAATAAAACCTTCCTGAACATGTTCTCCCTGTAAATTATATATCTTACTGTTATTGTAACGGCTCTCAGTATGATGAAACTATGACATTGATATTGTTACCTATTTTATATTCATGGATATTGGTTTTTACATATTTGCGATACAATTTGTGTTTTTATCAAGGAATGCTTCATAGTTTTGTATAAAACGTCTACAACTACTTTGAAGTCCAGTACAAGCCCTAATGATATATATGGAGCTGTTTAAAGGATTATTTTTAATATTATGTTAATGAGTGTGAGTGTCAGTGAGTCTATTAACACCAGTGTAACGTGCTTCAGATCGTGGGCCTGCAGCTGTGTCAGAAGACGATGGGTGGCGGCGGTCGGTCGCGGCAGGTGACGCCGGCCGCGGACCTCGCGCAGGTCGCGGACGCGGCCAGCAAGCTCGCCGGCCTGCTCGACCAGGTACACCTCCGACACGTGCGGGTACAGCACGGCCAGACACACAGTGTGTGGAGGTGGTTCTCACACGGCGCGTGTGTTGCAGGTGTTGTCTTACGTGGAGGAGGTGGTGGCGGAGCGCGCGGCCCCCAACAAGGCGGTGGGCAGGGAACTGCTGGCGCTGGCCGCCTCACTGCCAGACCTCTCCGCCGCCTCCTTCGCTGACGCCTTCGCCTCCAGCGTCAAGGACCTGCTCATGGTATGACACACACACTCACACACACACACACACACACACTAACACACACACACACACTCATTGTTCATAGTATATGAGTGGTTGTTGTTCTGTTGCAGGTCGTGACGCTGGCCCAGCTCATCAAGACACAGCTGCAGCTCAACGAGAAGCTCACACTACTCACGTCTCAGTGAGGACACTGATTCAGGAGACAAACAAAAATAAATTCTTATCAAATTTAACACTTTTATTTGTTGAACCCTAACAACTTGTTTATATTCTCTTACTTTAAAAATATCATATACTAGCGACCCGACCCGGCTTCGCACGGGTGCGATGCTGATGATAAATACATGACAGAAAAACTGTGAATGTTTTAATGGATGTTATCTATACTAATATTATAAAGCTGAAGAGTTTGTTTGTTTGTTTGAAAGCGCTAATCTCCGAAACTACTGGTTCGAATTGATAATTCTTTTTGTGTTGGATAGTCCAGTTATCGAGGAAGGCTGTGGGCTATATAACATCACGCTACGACCAATAGGAGCAAAGATATAGTGGTAAATGTGTAAAAAACGGGAGAAATTATTTCATCTTTGAAGCCTTCCGCTGCGTGCGCCGTGAAAACGGTTCAAGATGCACAAAAATATGTATTAAAGAATAATAGCTCTTTTAATGATCTAAAAAACTTTATTAACTCACAAAAACCGTTTTTACCTAATTTGGTCGAAATAATTTGTTTAAGTAGTATCAACATAAAAATATTAATCTTTATTCAAATAAACAAATAAATATGTTGTTGGTTAAGAGTACTTCATTGTAAAAAAAAAAAGCATAGGTTTTATCCTGAAAATTCTATGGGAACTCGACCATTCCGAAAACCCCGCAAGAACGGGAACTATGTGGGAAGAACCAAAAATCTGCCGAAAGACACTATTCCACGCGGACGAAGTCGCGGCAAAAGCTAGTTATACATATAGCGGCTTCCCACCGGCACTAAACATGAAACGTAAAAAAATAGGAAAGGGCAATGTCCATTTTTGTCCTAGCGTGAACAAGCTGCTATCAAAAAAACAAGTTTATGAAAAAAAATATTTTTTTTTAGCTAGCCATTCTATTGTTGTTTGAGTGTACATTTTTATTTTATTGAAAACATATTTTTAAAGTATCTTCATTGATTTTTTTTTTGGTTATGTTCGTTCCGTTCAGAACAGACAAAGAGAACAAAGCCCATACAGCCATGTCTTTTGTATTTTGTATCTTTAATTATTTATAAATATCTAAACCTCCTTTTTATTCTAGACTCAAGTTTTATATCAGGCCTAAGCCATGTCTTCTTTTAATTTTCTTCTTAAAACATTTTTTTAAATTTAAGGCCGAAGCCATGTCTTCTTTTAATTTTTCTTCTTGAATCCTTTTTTTAATTATAAGGCCGAAACCATGTCTATTTAAAATAGTTTTTTTTGTCAAATTCTTGTTTTTTTTTACATTCCGTCTTTTTCAATGTCCAGTCCTTGTAATGTCATTTTTAGTACAATAATTAATTTATCAAAATCGATATAACAGTCAAATTCTGAAAATAGCTGAAAGCAAATATCTAAAACAAAACGAATAAAATTGTATTATATCCATATGTACAAATAACAATTAGATTTCATTTATAGTAGAAACAATAAAGCCATAAACTGGCAAGAAGCATTCTTGAATGCTTAGTATTTGCTGAAGGGAGCGCGGGATATCTTCAGCAGTTTTAAAAATACTTAAAAGTTGGTCTACAAGGACCATCCTTTGAATACTAAACTGTGGACAATCAAAAAATATATGTTCGAGGGTTTCATCAGCACTATTGCAATATCTACAAGTTGAAGAGTCAAAAACACCAATCCTAAAAAGGTGAGCACCAAAACGACAATGTCCCAGACGCAAACGACAGATTGTAGTATAATACTTTCTATGGCTATAGTCACTACCCCGGGTAAACCAGGGAGAAGACACCATTTTCCTTTTACTTTTACCACCTGATGCCATAAGTTGTAAAATTCTTTCTGTAACTTGAGTTTGAAGAGGGATAGAGCGTCTGAATAAGGAATTGGGAAATTTAAAAAGTTATGACTTAATTGATTGTGGGCCGAATTTGTAATAAATTAAGCTAAATAGTCTGCTTGCTCATTACGATGCACACCAATGTGGGCTGGTGTCCAGAATAGGATTATTTGCTTGTTTTGAGACAGCAGGTGATACAGTTCTCTTATTTTATATATAATATAGTTAGTTTTTGAATTTAATTGTCGATTTTATAGTGCCGTTAATAAGCTTAAACTATCCGTTATTATAATCCACTTAGGATGAGTCTGTGTTTGAATGTGCTCCATAGCTGTATACACAGCTATGGATTCCGCGGAGTATATGCTTGTGAGTGGATTCAGCCTATGACCGAATCAACTTTTGATCTGACTATCATAGACAGCTATAGAGACTGCTTCATTGTTCCTAGACCCATCTGTATATATCTGATGATATCCCTGCCACCTATCAAGTTCCCTATAAATGTCTTCCTTATACTTTAGAAGACTTTTGACTACAATTTTAATCTGCTTAAATTTTGATTCATATAACCCAGAGTAACAAGGCCATACCATGCTAGAAAATATATTATGTTTATTAAAAATTTGTTCTGTTTCAGAAAAACCGTGCAACACATATGAATTAATATTGTCAGTCCTGTTAATAGTGTCCCGCAGTTTAACAAGAAGTGGATGATTATTGGAGAGCGACCTTGCAAAAAATTTTGATTGTAAGTATTTAAAGTATTTAATTCCACCTGCATTGACACTATGGGAGTAGTTCGCATGGCACCCATTATAATACGCAAAAATATATTCTGTATCTTTTCTAATTTATCTACTATAGTTCTTACCCCTGCAAAACAAAAAAAAAGCATATTCAAAATGACTCCTTACTAATGATTTATACAATGTTAATAGAATCCTTGGATCAGCACCTCAATATGTGCCTGTTAAAGATTTTAAACCATACAAGCATTTAAAGCTCGAGATTCTAGAGTTTCAGCATACTTATTCCATCTAAAATTGTTTGTAAAAATAACACCTAAAAACTTTACACAGCTCTCTACAGACATTACATTATTATTGAACAAAATATTTACATTCCCATTTCTAATTCCATTTTTTGAAAAGACAACAACTTTACTTTTTTCATTGCTGTCCTCCAGCCCAAGGCTATCAAAATAGTTCTTTAGTCTTTGGAGAGCAACATTGAGGACTGATTGTACACGTAAAATATTAGTATCAGAGCAATAAACAACTAAATTATCTGCAAACTGCAGATTAGAAACTTCACACCCCAGAGTTAAATTTAGCTGATGTATGAATAGGATAAAAGCAATGGGCTCAATACACCACCCTGTGATACACCCCTACAAGAATATCTTGGACCAAATAAGTAATTGTTGACCTTAACAAACACCTTTCTGTAGTTCAGAAAATTAAAAATCCAATTTACAACTTTTCCAGGTACCTGTAGTAATAATAATATTGAGGATAATTTATACACATCTACATTATTGAAAGCTCCTACAATGTCAAGAAAAACACCAACTAGTACTTTATTCTCTGAACGAGCATTGTGGATATCCAGACAGAAATGACGTAGACTCTCACAAGCAGAACGGCCACAACGAAAGCCAAACTGATTGTAAGGTAAAAGATTATTACTTTCTATGTGGAAAAAATAATCTCTGTTTTATTATTTGTTCGAAATTTTTCCAACATATGAACTCAGTGCAATAGGACGATAAGAATCAGCCAAATTAAAGTCTTCGCCAGGTTTTAATATTGGTACCAAACAGTCAATTTTCCAATCCTCTGGGATAATAGAAGACGACCATAAACTATTTAATAGACTTAAAAAAATAGAGTTTGAACATTTATAAGCTTAAACATTCTGTAGGAAAGCCAATCTGGGCCACATGAAGAATCTTTTCTTGAGGCTAAAGCAGATTTTAACTCTTGCATAGTAAAACAACCGATCATGTATGAATTATCACTATTTACTCCAAGAACATCATCTATACTTATCTGTTGTGAAACAGTATCCGATGTGTATTTATATAAAAATGTTTGAACCCAATCGAGGTCAGAAAATAAGTTAGAACTCGGGAAGCTTTTTTTGAATTTTCTTATTTTAGTCCAAATGCGATTTATAGATGTCAAACGATTTATTGATGAACAGAATTCAGACCAACTTTTACAACGTTCTTCTTTTAAAGTGCGTTTTTTAAAGGCTTGTGCGCGTTTGAAATTAATGTAATTTTTTCTATTAAGACTAGTTTTGAAATTAATGTAGGCGTTCATGCAATCTTCTACTACTTATGAACATTTATCATTCCACCAAGGTACTTGGCATCTTTTTCTAGGACGGTTATTATTACTATCAGTTGTATTATTGTTTAAGCTGGGCCCGGAGAATTTGATTTCCAATAGAATAATTGCACAAAACTTTCTGTATGAGTCAAGGAGATCACTATTGTCAACTTTAAAGTTCATTAACATTTTATTAACAATTTGTTCATAACTATCCCAATTTACTAATTTCAGATTGCTGTGAAAAGGAATGCTGTTCAAGGAAATAGAGGGCTCATGTTGATCTCTTACGAGAGTAAATTTTGTGATAGTTTGCAGATGATAACTGCCTAAAGGGTCCTGATGAGCTTGCCAGTCACAAGAAAGAAATAAAGAAGAAGACACCATAGTTAAATCTAGACTGTTTGGTTTCCAAATATGAGAGCCTATAGTTGTTGGTTGACCATTATTTAAAAGTATAAAGTCATGGTCATCCATGGAATCCATAATAGCTCTGCCCCGAGAATCTATGTGACTGCAACCCTAAAAAGTGTGATGGGCATTAAAATCACATGCAATTATCAACGGTTTTGGAATACTGTACAATAAACGACCGAACTTGGCCTTTTCAAAAGCAGGAAAACTATTACCAGGACTGTAAAAACTAACCAAAGAAATGTATTTATGTTTCAGTTTAATAACAATTACTACATTTTGTAACGAACCATCGTAAAAAGTATCTAGTTTAGAGAAATGTATACCATTTTTAATAAATATTGCTACGCCATTATGATTATTGCCGCAGTCATTCCTAATAATGGTATAACCACGTA